TCCCTTCCTCCCTTCTTTTTTTTCTTTTTTCTTCTGGTTTTGGGTCACGCCCGCCAGTGCTCAGGGCTTCCTCCGAGCTCTGCACTCAGGAATCATTCCTGGTGGGCTCAGGGGATCATGTGGGGCGCTGGGGGTGGAACCCTGGTCAGGCAAGCGCCCCTTTCCCCTGGCCATGGCTCCAGCCTCAGCCCCGCCTCTGACCAGTGAGCAGGCTGGTCACAGCTGCATCCGGGTGGCCAGAAAGTCTTGAATGGGGGAAGGCACTGGGACTCGCAGGCCTCCGTAGCGCGCGTCCTGATGGGGGTCCGAGCCAAGTGAAGGGTGACCTCCGGCTGATATTCCAGGCGGGGAGGGGCAGAACCCTCCAAAATGGACCACAAGTGGCATTGGCACAGCACTCAGAACAGATGCAGGCTCCACAGGTTCCCACCCAGCGTGTGTGCCTATGTATGCCTGCATGGGTATGTGTGTGTGTGTTTATGTGTGCGTGTGTGCCTGTTTATGCCTGTGTTATGCAAGTGTGTATGGGTTATGTGTGTGTCTGTGTATGTACGTGCACGTGTCTATGTGTGTGTGTGTGGCCTTGTGCGTTCGTGTATACATGTGTGTCTGTGTGCCGTTTCCACATGTGTGGAGCAGTATGACGGGCTGTGCAGATATGCATGTATTATCCCAACGTGGAGCCCCAGCAAATGAAGCATTTCTTTTCAGAAATCATTTTTCTGGGGCCAGAGTGATAGTCCAGGGGATATGGCATTTCCCTTGCATGCAGCTGACCCAGGTTCAATCCTGGCATCCCGTATGGTCCCTCAAGTATTGTCAGGAGTAATTCCTGAGTGCAGAGCCAGGAGTAGCCCCAGCCTCTACTAAATCACCAGCTGTAGCCCTAAAACTAAACCAAATGAAACAAATCATTTTTCTTCTTGCTTTTCTTTCTTTTTTTCCCCCATTATGGGCACATACCTTGGATTTATTTTTTGTTGTCAAGTATTTTTTTTCAATTGAATCACCATGAGATACACAGTTTCAAAGTTGTTCATCATTGGGTTTCAGTCACACAGTGTCTTAACACACACCCTTACCTCCTTTATCAGTTGCGAATTTTCTATCCCAATGTCCCCAGTTTCCTTTCCCTGCCTCCCACTAGCCTGCCTCTATGGTAGACACTTTTCTTCTTTCTCTCTGTCTGTGTCTCTCTGTGTCTCTCTCTGTCTCTATCTCATCTCTATCTCTGTCTCTGTCTCTTTCCTTTTTTTTCTTTTTTGCTTTTTGTGTCACACGGCACCTGGTGATGCTCAGGGGTTACTCCTGACGGCACTCAGGAATTACTTCTTGCTATGCTCAAGGAATCATGTAGGATGCCGGGGGAATAGGACCCGGGTTGGTCGCATGCAAGGCAAACACCCAGCCATACTATCGTTCCCACCCTCTCTTTCCTTTCGGGTCCTGTGGTTTGCAGTATTGTTACTGAAAGGTTATCATATGTATCTTGTGCCTCCTTTCAATGGATTCTTGTTCAGAGTGATAGTTTCCAATTATTATTGTCATAGTGGTTCCTTCTTTGTCCTAACCACTCTCCCTACAGCTTGTGACAAGCTTCCTACCATGGACTGGTCCTCTTGGCCCTCATTTCTATTATCCTTGGGTATTATTCACATACTATTTTTTTTTAGATTTTAAAATGACTGATTTTTTTTAAGTTTTTATAATTTTATTTATTGAATCACCATGAGAGCAGTTACAAAGCTTTCAGGTCTAAGTCTCGGTCATCCAATGAAACCCCCGTACCTTCACCAGTGCCCATTCTCCACCCCCAGAAACCCCAGTATATCCCCATCCCACACCCTCCCCCTACCTGTGGGGCAAATGATTTCCACATGACTCTTTCTCTACTTCGATTACATTCAGTATTTTGACACCAGACCCACCATTATTATTTGGGATTTTACCCCAACACTCAGATCTGCTGAAAAGGCAACAGTAGGCAATTTGTTTTCTATTGCTGGTTAAGAATAACCTATGATGTCAAGTGGCTGCAGTAGTGGCTGCGTGATTTTGAAATTTAAAAAAAATTTTTTTTTTTGCTTTTGGGTCACACCCAGCTTTGCACAGGGATTACTCCTGGCTCATACACTCAGGAATTACTCCTGGTGGTGCTCAGGGGACCATATGGGAAGCTGGGAATCGAACCTGGCTCGGCCATGTGCAAGGCAAACACCCTACCCTCTGTGCTATTGCTCCAGCCCCGAAATTTCAAAATTTTAACACTTAAATCTGGAGGGATTTCTGTCAAAACCTGCTGGGTTCCGAGATTTGTTCCTGAGTCTCTGGGATCATGGCCTTTAAGCAGCTTGATGAAGAGCCAGAAAGGCCATTCATGGGTGGCGACTCGGGGTCTCGTTGGGACGGGGAGGAAAGGGTCGGATCCACCCCCATCCCATGAGGCCCTATGTGTCTCGTCACTGAGGGCCCAAACCTGACTGTCCAGTGACCTACAGAGAATTGCGGCCACCGGGCTGCCAGGAGGAACAGGCTAAGGCACGAGACCTATTCCCACCTGGGGTAGCCCAGCACTGGTAACCTACTACAGGGACTGGACACATTTCTGCCAAAAGCCGCTGGGTTTCGAGATATGTTTCTGAGTCTCTGGGATCATTGCGATTAAACGGCTTGATCAGGAGCCAGAGAGGCTGTTCATGGGCAGTGACTCAGGGTCTCATTGGGATGGGGAGGAAAGGGGCCCCATCCCATGAGGCCCTGTGTGTCTCGCCACTGCAGGCCCAAACCTGACTGTCCACTGGCCTCTGGTGGATCGCGGCCACCAAGCCACCAAGGGAGAGCAGGCAGAGGGACAGCACCCTTTCCCCTCTGGGTGGCCTGGCGACAGTAACCTACTGCGGGGTCCGGACACATTTCTGCCAAAAGCTGCTGGGTTTTGAGATTTGTTTCTGAGTCTCTGGGATCATGACCATTAAGCAGCTTGATCAGGAGCCATAGAGGCCTTTCGTGGGTGGCAACTCAGGGTCTCGTTGGGATGAGGAAGAAATGGCCGGCTCCACCCCCATCCCATGAGGCCCCATGTGTCTCGTCACTGCGGGCCCAAACCTCTGGAGGCTCCAGTAACCTACTTCAGGGACCGGACACATTTCTGCCAATAGCCGTTGGGTTTCGAGATTTGTTTCTGAGTCTCTGGGATCATGGTCATTAAGCAATTCAATCAAGAACCAGAGAGGCCATGCCTCCAATTATATAGCTGAGCCCAAGGTGGTTTGTGGATGTGTCTCCCACATACCTAATTTTTGGCTGTTTACTTTCTTGGTAAAATTTGCCCCAAGTTTTTGGGGTCTGGCCAAAGGCACAGCAGCAATTTTGGGGTATCTGAAAGTCTGAAGGCACCATCAGGCTGCTGATGCACTCACCTCACGGGTACCGATTGACCTGCTGGTGGCACCATACTCCCACACATACTGTTGTTTTTTATATCCCTCAAATGAGTGTGATAATTCTATGTCTGTCCCTCTTCCTCTGACTTGTTTCACTCAGCATGATATTCTCAGTGACCATCCATGTACAAGCAATATTCATAACTTCAGTTTTCCTAATAACTGCATAGTATTCTATTGTGTAGATATACCATAGTTTCTTTATCCTCTCATCTGTTCTTGGGCACTCAGGTTGTTTCCATATTCAGGCTATTGGGAGTAGTGCTGCAGTGAACACAGAAGTGCAGACGGGGCGGGGGGGGGGGGGGGCTGCACCGCTAGCACAGCGGGTAGGGCATTTGCCTTGTATGTGGCCGACCCAGATTCAATTTCCAGCATCCCATATGGTCCCCCAAGCACCGCCAAGAGTAATTCCTGAGTGCATGAGCCAGGAGTAACCCCTGAGCCTTGCCGGGTGTGACCCAAAAAGCAAAAAAAAAAAAAAAAAAATTGCAGACGGCTTTTCTGCAGTGTTTTTTTGGCCCATGGGGTAGATTCCCAGGAGTGGTGGTGTTGGGTCATATGGAAGCTCAACTTCTAGTTCTTTTGAGGAATGCCCATATTGTTTTCCAAAAAGTCTAGACCAGTAGACATTCTCACCAACAATGGATGAGAGTCCATTTCTCCCCGTATCTTCTGACTGCTCTTATTCTTTTTGATGAGTGCCAGTCTCTGTGGCCTGAGGTGATACCTCATTGTTGCTTTTATTTGCATCTCTGGTGATAGTGATGTAAAGCACTTTTTCACCTGCCTTTTGGTCATTTGTATTTCTTCTTCGAGGAACTGTCTGTTCAGATCCTCAATTCCTCAGATAGTCACCTCCTCAGATACACCCTCATTTCCTGGGATCTTCCCTCACATCCTCAGAGACTCACTTGTCTCCTCAGATTTTCCCTCACCTCCTCAGACCCTCCCTCACTTCCTCAGGTCCTCCCTCACTTCCTCAGATCCTCCCTCACCTCCTCAGGTCTTCCCTCACCTCCTCAGATCCTCCCACACCTTCTCAGATCTTCACCTCCTGAGGTCCTACCTTACCTCCTCAGGTCCTCCCTCACCTCCTCAGATCCTCCCTCGCCTCCTCAGGTCCTCCCTCACCTCCTCAGATCCTCCCTTGCCTCCTCAGATCCTCCCTCAGTTCCTCAGATCCTTACCTCCTCAGGTCCTCCCTCGCCTCCCAGATCCTCACCTCCTCAGGCCCTCCCTCACCTCCTCATTTCTTCCCTCACGTCAGATCCTCCCTCACCTGCTCTCATCCTCCTCAGACCCTCCCTCACCCCCACAAGTCCTCCAGCAGCCCCGCGGGGTGGGCATTCTCTTCCCCCAGCCCTCAAAGGCATCAAGAGGGGCTCGGGCAGGCTCCTAGCTTCCTGGTCAGAAAGAGTGTGTCACTTTCCAGGGGGACCTGGGGACCAAAGTCACTCTCAGTCAGGAACCCCCCAGCTCCCGATCAGTCATGGCTGTCGGGACTCGGCTGCTGACTCAGCTGCTGCGCGTGTCTGTCTGTCTGCCTGCCTGCAGGTGAGCCCGCGCCAGCATGGGGGACGCCAGAGACTTCTGTCCGCACCTTGACTCCATTGGCGAGGTGACCAAAGAGGACCTGCTGCTCAAATCTAAGGTAAAGCCGGGGATGCCGGGCCCAGTGCTCCGGGCTGGCACCTGGGGCTTCTCCAGGCAGCGTCCTAGTATCACGAACGGCCACTTCGTCCGTCCCATGAGCTGACGGAGAGCCAGCGAAGCTCTTGGCCTTCCCCAGCCCAGAGCCTGGTGGCCGCAAGTGTTGGGACAGACCCAAACCTGGACTACTGGGAGCCCAGCCTGAGCAAGTGTGATCCTGGATGCTGGGTCTCTGCTTGGATGGAGATGTCGTCATCTTTCTCCAGTTAAAATTGTGTGACCGGGGGGCCGGAGTAATAGCACCGTGGGGAGGGCATTTGCCTCACATGTGGCCGACCCGGGTTCAATCCCCGGTATCCCATATGGTCCCCTGAGCACCACCAGGAGTAATTTCTGAGCGCAGAGCCAGAAAGAACCCCTGAACATTGCCAGGTATGACCCCAAAAGCCCCCCCACCTCCAAAAAATATATTGTGTGATTAGTTCAGAAGTGAAAGGCCCAAGATAGTGCAGGGATGGAGGTGCCCTCAGCCCTCATGCTGAGTCTGCTCAGCTGGCCAAGAATTGCCAGGAGGGGGCTGGAGTGATAGTACAGTGAGTAGGGCGTTTGCCTTGCACGCAGCTGACCCGGGTTCAATTCCCAGCATCCCATAGGGTCCCCCAAGCACCACCAGGAGTAATTCCTGAGTGCATGAGCCAGGAGTAACCCCTGAGCATCGCTGGGTGTGACCCAAAAAGCAAAAAAAAAAAAAAAAAGGAATTGCCAGGAGGGATGCAGCGGCCTCAGCAATTAGGAGCCCCCTCCCCTCATCCCCCCCCCAAGGAGAGTAAGTCTGAGGCGAAGGCTCCACAGTAAAGCACTTGCCTTGCGCGTGGGGGCCCCTGGGTTTGAGCCTCAGCACCTCCACACAGGAGAATGAGCTGCTCAGAGCTCCCCTCCATCCCCTGCCCCCCCCCATGCCGTCACCTGGGGAAACCACTTCCCCTTAGCTTTCTTGGACATCTCAGAGTCCCTTTCTGGGACCCCAGGTGAGCGAACCGCTTGGCCCCCTCCCCTTGCCCACCACAGGGCAGACGGAAGGCCTTGCTGCCACTCGCTTTGCTCCTATGCCCCGGTGTGCTGGGACTGTCCCCAGGGCAGCCTTCTCCCTGCCTGGAACTTTCTCCACATGAGGAAGTCACATCCTCTGTTCTGACGTCAACTCCAGACTCGGCCGGTGGTGGGCAGCGGGGTCATGGGCACAGGGCAGCATTGGGGGTTGGGGACACGCCACCAGGCAGGCTCCAGGACAGGTGCTAGTCCCCTGCTGGGTTGCCCATCCCGTCCCCCTGCTAGCTCATGGTCCTTTCTGCACCTAGGTCCCAGTGCTGGGGGTCAGCGGAGGGGTCTGGCCTGGCTGAGGGGGGTGGGACCCCTCCAGCCAGCACCCGGGGCTGCTTTGGAAGTCACTTGGCTTCTGGCTGGCGGGCGTGTAGGTGCCAAGGTCTGTGATTCAGCCAGCGATGCTGCCTGGGGATATGGGGGGTCAGATGGCAGGAGGGAAGGGAGCCCGCGGGGAACGAAGCCATTTGCAGTGGGTCTAGAGCAGGATGGGGAACCCCATAGTGCCTCCTGATCCAGCCCGGCCTCTGCCAAGGACACCCCAAGTTTTAGCCCAGAGACCAGTGTACCTGTGAGTTTTATCCTCTTGGTATGTCTTCCAAGAGGTCTGTTAAAGAGATTTTATTTGAAAACTACTAATTTTTTGGGGGGGCCACACCTGGCGGGGCTCAGGGCTTCCTCCTGGCTCTGTGTACAGGGTCACTCCTGGCGGGGCTCAGGGGATCCTTCGTGGTGCTGGGGACCAAGCAGGGGTGGCTACATGCCAGGCAAGTACCTGCTTCCCCGCATTCTCTCTGGCCCTGGAAGATATTCTCTCTCTCTTTTTTTTTTCACTGAATCATCATGAGATACAGTTACGAAACTTTCATGTTTGAGTTTCAGTCATACAATGATCAAACCCACCCCTCCACCGGTGCACATTTTCCACCACCAATGTCCATAGTGTCCCCGACCCCCCCCATCCCAGCCCTCGCCCTACTTCTATGGCAGACAGTTCCCCCCATTCTCTCTCTACTTTTGGGCGTTATGGTTTGCTTGAATTTTCCCACCACCATTCAAGCCCGCCTGCCAAGGGCAGATGCTAGACAATTTATTCTCTCTTGCTCATTATGAATATCATGAGAAGTCGGGCGGACGCTTTTGCAGCCGCGTGCTTCTGGAATTCTAAAATTGTAAATTGGTTGGGGTCCCGAGACAACTCTGTAGGGCGCTAGTCCATTCTGAGATTCATCTGGGAGTCTCTGGGTCAAGGTCGTGGATGCACTGAGATCATGGCAGATCATGGGTGTGACAGCCAGACCCCAAGCGGGCAGGGAGACGGGGAGGAATGGCCTGTCTCCGCTGCCACCATGAGGCCTGGAGTCTTAGTCCCTGAACCCACATACCTGGGGTTTTGCTTCTGGAAGCCCGTGACCATCGGGGTTTCATCTGGAGTGGGCAGAGAGGTCACACCTGCTCCATCTGAGGTGCCCAGTGGAATTGGCTGGGTCCGGGGTCCAGAGAGATCTCCGGCGAGCTGCTGTCTTCCCGGATTCACTGCCGTGTCTCTGCACCAAGGCCGTTGATGTGCTGAGATGGTGCCCCGAGGCAGATCATGGGTGTGGCAACCAGGACCCCAACCTGGGAGATATTCTTGTCGGCATGGCGTGGAACAGTCAGGCTGGATGCTGCTAAGGGCAGCTGGGCTTACGCTGGCGAAAGCCTCCCTGGGGCCTCGAAGCAGAGCCTTGTGTGTCTGTCCATCTGTCTGTCTGTCCGTCCTGTGGGTGGAGCCAGGGGTGCACCATGCCCTGGCCGCCCTGCCCTCTCACTGTGTTCTCTACTCTCCCAGGGCACCTGCCAGTCATGCGGCGCGGCGGGGCCGAACCTCTGGGCCTGCCTCCAGGTAAACCGACCCTGATGGGGTGGTACAGGCGGGCGCATTCGGGGCCTGGGCCAGGCTGGGAGGGCTTCAGGGCACCACGCCCCCTAGGGTGCCAGGGTGGGCCCTCCTGGGACTGCAGGGGGGTGGAGTGAGAAGCAGCAGCAGGAGAAGCTTCTTGGCCCACAGGCATCTGTTCACGAGTGTGGGGCACGACTTGGACCTTTGTCTCCTGCTCGTGACACGGGGGACCGGGACGGGGTGTGAGACGCTGCCGCCAGGGTCCTTGGCAGACAGGACCCTGGGCCGCTGGGCGCTTCCTGGACGCTGCATTTGGGAGTGGCAGAGTGCGGGCCTGGAGCCAAGGGCCGAGCAGGGGTGCGGCTGGCCCGGCTTCATTCATTCCCTGACGCTGCATTGCTAAAGAGCCCCCCTTCCCCAAGCATGCTGCTCCCCGCCCCCGCCACACTCCAGCCCCGCTGAGGGAGGCTTCAAAGTAGAATAGAGAAATAAGTCAAAATACCCGACGTGGCTTAGCTCCAGGAGGCCCCGCCAGGCCGTGCAGCCGCCTGACTGAGGCACGTGACCCTCTGCCTGACTCAGCATCCCGAGTGGGGTTTGGGTGAGAAGGGGGTGATGGGTGGGAGGGTTTGGCCACCGAGTATAGGCCTTAGTGCTGTCCAGGCCCCAGGACGTCATGTGCACAGGGCAGGGCCCGCCATCCCTCCTGGCCCTGTCGGGTGGGGCCGGGGCCCGCTGAGTCCTGCATTCCCTGGCTGCCGGTCAGTCCCCTGCCGCCCTCTCTCTGCAGGTCACCTGCCCCTACGTTGGCTGCGGGGAGTCCTTTGCTGACCACAGCACCATCCACGCTCAGGTGAGCCTGCCCTGCCCCTCCCTGCCCGCCAGCAGCCCATCCCCACCCCATAGGTGTCCAAACCTGAGTCTCTAGTCCCAGCAAGCGTCCTGCCCGCTGTCCTGTCACTCTGGCCCTGGTCCTTACTTTGGATCTGCCCCCTCCCCAGGTGAAAAAGCACAACCTGACCGTGAACCTGACCACCTTCCGGGTGTGGTGCTACGCGTGTGAGAAGGAGGTGTTCCTGGGCCAGCGGCGGGCAGCGCCCCCAGCCGGCCCCAGCTTTGGGGAGCAGGTGAGGATGTGGCCAGCACGTGCGGGGTAGGCTGTGTGTGTGTGTGTGTGTGTGTGTTTGTATGGACGGGACAGTGTGTGGCGAGCCAGCACAGGACAAGGTTCTGCTGCAGCGTCTGCCCCAACCAGCCTGCCAGTGACTTGGACAACCCCATCAGGAAATGCTTCCCACTGGGGCCACTGTCCAACAAACAAGGCTCAGGGTCGGGGCTTCTGCGGGAACTCGCCAGGTGTGTGGTGAACCTCAGGCCCTCAGCCTGGAGAGCTGCCAGAACTCCTGTGTGGAAGTGTCCCCCACAGCCCAGCACCCCAAGGAAGTCCCTCGAACCTGCCTGAAGATGCACCAAGCTGAACCTGGTGCAGCGCACACAGGGCGGTGTGTGTCTCCCAGAGGCGCCGCCCTGCAGACAGCGGGCGCAGAGGGTGACTGGGGGGAGTCTGTGCTTCTGCAGGAAGGCCCGGCCCAGGGTGTGTGCACGCTTGTGTGTGTGACTGTGTATATTGTGTGTGTGCGTGTGTGCGTATGTATGGCGTGCGTGTGTTTGTGTGTTGTGTGCACGCACATGTGTGTATACACATGTAGTGTGTGTATGTATTATGTGTGCGTGTGTATTGTGTGTATGCATGTGTGTATTGTGTGTGCGCACGTGCGTGTGTGCATGTGTGTAGTGTATAGTGTGTGTGTTCGCACGTGTGTGTGTGTTGTGTCTGTCTGACTGCAGTTGAGAATGGACCCGGCCCAGGAGTGCTGGCTTTGCGTGCGGGAACCCCGGGAACCCGGGCTCCACCCGGGAACTGCATGATCCCCCAGCAAGAAGTGGGGTGAAGCTCAGAGGCTAGAAGGCCCCCAACAGTGGCTCCCCAATGCCTAAGGACCCACGTGGGGAGAAATGGCCCCGAGTCCTTTGTGCTCACGGTGGACTCACCCGATTGCTGCCGTCACCCCGGAACCAGCGGGGGTCCCCCACCCCTCACTCGGGGTCTCTGCCGGCAGGGTCCCCCTCCCTCACCCGGGGTCTCTGCCCAGGGCTCCCCGCTGCTCTCCCGCCCGCTGCGCGCGGTCCCCATCGCGGTGGCCGACGAAGGCGAGTCGGAGGCGGAGGAAGATGACCTGAAACCTCGAGGTGACAGTCCCTGAGGCTGGGTGGGGCCCAGAGCGAGACCAGGTGCATGCTTCCCTGCCCCCCACCCCCACCCCTGCAGGCTCCCTCTGCTGGCTCCTGAACAAGGGACCCTGAGACGCCCTTGTATCACGACTTACCGGGTCTCTTAGGTGGGGTGCCCCATACCCCGTCCCTCTCCACTTGCAGCCTGGGGCTCTGTGCCTCGGCTCCTGCCCCTGGGACCCGGGAGGGGACCCCCTGGCTGGGGCTCACACCGACTCTGCGTGTTCATCTCCCAGGCCTCACAGGCATGAAGAACCTGGGGAACACATGCTACATGAATGCCGCGCTCCAGGCTCTGTCCAACTGGTGCGTGCGCGGGCCGGCGGGGAGGGGTTGCCAGGAGCCTCGTAGCCGGGGGTCCTAGCGGGGAGGAGCAAGAGAATGCGGGGGGCAGAGAAGTACAGGTGAGAGGGAGATGTGAGGGACTGGGGTGGGGCACCTGGGAGACAGGTTTAAAGCTTTACCAGGGCCAGGGGTGGGGAGAGGGGGCCAGGGGAGAGAAGCTGTTGGCATGGGAAGGGCTCACTCTGCCCCGACCCTCAGAGGGGCAGGTCAAGGTCATGCTGCTGGCCAAGGTCAAGGGCACGGTCGGCCCGCGTGTATTTTCCTGTTATTTTCCCACCGTATGTTTTTCTTGCCACGTTTTCAGAACGGAGGGAACGGGGTGGGGCGTCCGCCTTCATGGCCAGGCGGGGACCCCGGGACGGCCAGAGGGAGGGGCGGGTTGCTGGATCTGCCCCCAGCCCGACAGTCCCCCAGGGGTGCTCAGCAGGAGGGGAAGGGGGCAGCACCAGGCTGACCACTGTCAGGCAGGGTTCCAGTCCTAGGGGATGGGGCCGGTGCACAGGAACGTCTGCTCCCATGTGGAGGCTGTGGCCCGGACCCCCGGCCCGTCCTCTCTCCCCACCATATCAAATCGGGGGCCCCCAGGACCTTGTTTCCCCGTGAAAGGCCCTGCCCCAAATGCGGCCCCACCGTATGGATCGGCCATAGGGGCACCCAGTTCAGCTCCGGGGGTCCCCCACCCCTGTCCACTGCCCGTCCCAGCAGTGCCCACTCCTCTTCTCCCGTCCAGCCCCCCGCTGACCCAGTTCTTCCTGGAGTGCGGCGGTCTGGTGCGCACCGACAAGAAGCCGGCGCTATGCAGAAGCTACCAGAAGCTGGTCGCCGAGGTCTGGCACCGGAAGCGGTGAGCACGGCCCGCGGGGAGGACTCTCCTGGGTCCTGCCGCCTCCTGCCCTGTGTGTCGCGCAGGGGAAACCGAGGCCCAGCAGGCCTGCAGGCTTTGCTCCGCATGACCCCTCTCCCCGGCTCCCGGGTGCAGCTCGTGAGGGCTGCAGCCATGCGTGGGGCACTCACGCATGCTCCCTGGGTCACACTTTGACATCAGTGCTCGCTGCGGTCGCCCATGTGAGCGGCAGCTGTGGGAACACGTTCCGCTCATGTTGGCCCTCCCGGGGTTAGGCTGGGGGTCTCGTGACACATGCCAGGCATTTGCTCCCACACTGAGCCTCAGTCCAGCCCCCCCTTCTCTGTCCATTTTTCACGGAGTCCAGTGGAGATCTTGATAGTTTTTGTTTGGGGGCCACAGCTGGCAGTGCTCAGGGGTCACTGCTGGAAGACCTCAGATGACCATATGGGATGCTGGGGTTCCACGTGTAAGGCAAGCACTCAACCTGGCGGACCCTCTCTGGACCTGAAACCTTGCTAGAGAATCTCTCTTCCTCTCTCCTTCTCCCTCTTTCCCTCTCCCTCTTTCTCTCCCTCTCTCCCTCCCTCTCTGTCTCCCTCTGTCTCTCTGTCTCTGTCTCTGTCTCTCTCTCTCTCTCTCTCTCTCTCTCTCTCTCTCTCTCTCTCTCTCTCCCTCTCCGCCCCCCCTCCACTTTTGGGCCATACCTGATGGGGCACAGGCTTGCATGTGTCTTTGGGCTCAGGGATCACTCCTGGTGGGGCTTAATGTTGTTTTATTTTTTATTTTTTGGTTTTTTGGGCTACTTCCGGCGATGCTCAGAAGTTCCTCCTGGCTCTGCACTCAGGAATTACTCCTTGTGGTGCTGAGGGCGGGGGTTGGGGGGGGGACTCTGAGGGGTGCCAGGGATTGAACCCGGGCTGTGTGTGAGGCCAGAGCCTTCCTCGCTGTGCTACCGCTGTTGGCGCCCTGCCTGACTTGTTTTATTCCTTGCCTGGAGCGACATGAGCGCCCCCAGCTGCAGGGGTGCCCTGGTGCCCCGTCCCTCCTGCTGCGGGCCCCCCTGGCTCACGCACCGGCTCTCCCCGCAGCCCCAGTTATGTGGTTCCCACCAGCCTGTCACACGGGATCAAGCTGGTGAATCCCATGTTCCGGGGCTACGCCCAGCAGGTAGGTGGCCAGCAGGACTCCCCAGGTCCCAATCCTGGGCACGGGCGACTCTCTGCACCACCACCGCAGGGGACACTGTGGCTCTGGCATGGGGCAGGGGCAGAGGACAGAAGCGGGCCCCAGCAGGGCAGGGCGCTCATGGTGACACGGGCTCTCGTCCCGCGGCTCACCCTCATGAAGAGAGCCCCCGGGAGACCAGGGTGCCCTTGTCCCGGAGTCTGCGGGGGTCCCCATGGGGAGGGGCCGGGCGCCGGACGCTGCTGGGGAAGGTCGCGGGAGGGCTTGGCCTGAAGGGGCGACCGTGCCTCCCGAGCCCCCGGCGCCCTCCCGTTGGTGGTGACCGCATCCCCGCTGGCCAGGACACGCAGGAGTTCCTGCGCTGCCTCATGGACCAGCTGCACGAGGAGCTCAAGGAGCCGGTGGCGGCGGCGGCGGCACCGGCAGAGACGCGCGACTCGGACTCGAGCGACTCGGAGGAGAAGGGCGAGGGCGAGCGCAGCCCGTCCGAGGACGAGTTCCTGTCCTGCGACTCGGGCAGCGACCGCGGCGAGGCAGATGGGCAGGGCGGGCCCGAGGACGGCCGCGCGCTCTCCGAGAAGGAGTGGCGCAAGGGCCGCAGGCTGTCCTGGGGCCAGCAGCGCGCCAGCTCCGAGCAGGACGAGGACGCCGACGTGGACACCGTGGCCGCGCGGCACGCGTCCTCGCGCCCGCCCAGCCCCCGCGCGACGCCAGGTGTGGCCCGGACCGTGTCCAGCTCTCCGGGGCGTGGGAGAGTGGGGGCGGGGAGTGGGGTCCCGGGTGGGCCCGGCTGCCCCTGCCGGCCCTCCCACCCAGGGGTCCTCGACACTGTCCCCTCTGCGCCCCCCAGAGCCGGACAACGAGGCCCACCTGCGCAGCCCCTCCCGGCCCTGCAGCCCGGCGCCCCCCCACGAGGGCCCCCCCAGGCTGGCCAGCAGCCCTCCCCGGGGCAGCCCCGTGCGCCCGGGGCCCACCTACGTGCTGAAGAAAGGTGCGGAGGAACGCGACGGGGCGGGGAGGGGGCGGCCCCTCCGAGCCTGACCCCCGGGACGGGGAGGGGGTCATGAAGCCCCTCACATGACCCAGACTAGGAGGCTTGCATCCCCGCGGGGCGGTCCGGTGCCCCCCCACAAGCCCACAGCCGCCCCCCCTGCCTGCAGCCCAGGTGCCAGGCGCGGGCGGCCGGCGGCGGAAGGAGCAGCGCTACCGCAGCGTCATCTCCGACATCTTCGACGGCTCCATCCTCAGCCTGGTGCAGTGTCTCACCTGCGACCGCGTGAGTGTCCCCAGGGACCAGGTCCCCTGGGATTGGGTGTGGGGTGCCAGCCATGCACAGTCTCACCCTGAGAAAGGGAAGGTTGCCTCTAGGTTAGGGAAATAATGCTGAGGTGTCAGCATCCCCAAGGAACCGATTGTGATAAGAATCTATCGGTCTGACCGAGAACCACCTGAGTAGGCCTACAGCGTACTCCATTTGCACAAAACAGTGATTTGCTGGGACCAAAGTGTGCAAAGTCTTGGCAAGCCAGGAGTAAACAGACCTTTATCGAATCGCATGGAGAAACCGCTCAGTCCCGAGGCCCATCTGGACCCAGCCCAGTTCCCTTCACGCTTCAAGGCTCTGAACTCCCTCCGCTCACACACACACACACACACACACACACACACACACACACACACGTGCGCACACGTGTGCACACACGTGTCTGGGCAGGGCCGTGCCCGAGAGCAGCAGCTGGCTGACCTCTCGCCCCACAGGTGTCCACCACCGTGGAGACTTTCCAGGACCTGTCCCTGCCCATTCCTGGCAAGGAGGACCTGGCCAAGCTGCACTCGGCCATCTACCAGAACGCTCCGGCCAAGCCGGGCGCCTGCGGGGACAGCTACGCACCGCAGGGCTGGCTGGCCTTCATCATGGACTGCATTCGCCGGTACGGCCGCCGCCACGGGCCTCTCGCAGCCTAGCACAGTCGGGGAGTCCCAAACCCAAACCGTCAGGAGTCAGTTGGGGGACAGGCCTTGATCAGTGGGCAGCTGAGGGGACACGGGAGGGTGAGGGTGTGCTTTCCTGAGCCCCTCCATATACATGCCAGCGCCCATCAGCCTCATGGGGCGAGACGAGCTTGGGGAGGGGGCGCAGGGGGTGTTACTCCAGGGACTCCGGTGTGTCTGCTCTGACTTCTTTTGGTTCGTTTGTTTGGGGCCACACACAGCGGTGCTCAGGGGTCCCTCCTGGCTCTGCACTCAGCAGTCACTCCTGGTGGTGCTCGGGGGACCCTAGGGGATGCTGGAGAGTGAACCCGGGTTGGACGCGTGCAAGGCAAATGCCTTCCCCGCGGGACTGTCGCTCCGGCCCCTGCCCCTGAATTCTGCCCCTCCCACCCCGGCGCCTCTCTGGAAAGCAGCAGACCTCAGCCCCCGACATCCCACTCCGGCCCGGACCCTCACAGCACCCTGCCTTTCTATCTCTCCGTAGGTTTGTGGTCTCCTGTACCCCCAGCTGGTTTTGGGGGCCAGTGGTCACCCTGGAGGACTGCCTTGCTGCCTTCTTTGCTGCTGATGAGCTGAAGGGTGAGGGGCCGGGCTGGCCGGGGGTGGGGCTGGGGGGACTGTCCCGGGCAGGACTAGGCCTGACGCTCTTCCACCCGTTACCTGCTGGCTTCCTGTTCGTTTTGTTGTTGTTTGTTCATTCATTCTTGTTTTGGTTTGGGGGCCACACCTGGCAATGCTCAGGGTTACTTGTGTCTCTGTACTCAGGAATTACTCCTGGCAGTGCTCATGGGATGCTGCGGATCAAACCCTGGTCAGCCGCGTGCAAGGCAAGCGCCCTTCCCACTGGGCTATGGCTCCAGCCCCCACTCATTCATTCTTACTGATCTGATCTGCTGGGCAGATGTGATTTCCTGCTTGAATTTTGCATTTCTTTTTCTACTGAAGAGCATTTTACTTAAGTGTATCGGCTGTTTGCATTTCCAGTAGGAAGCTTCCCAGCTCTGACCTTGCCCATCTGCCTGTTGGCCTGTGAGAAACTTTTTGTGGTTCTCTGGGTGCTTTCCGCTTCGGAGTTTGGCCTTCCAGGGGCCGTGCTCCGGGCCTGCACAGTCTGTCTTCTGTCTGAATATTCCATTTGCCATCATCTCCTCAAGTCCATCCTCGGAGCGAGATGAGTCAGAACTTCCTTTGACTTAAGTGACTTCATCATACCGGTTCCTCATTTGTTTATTGTCATCTGTGAACTCTGGTTGTTCCTACTTTTTTGTTTTGTTGGCTTAGTTTTGGGCCCCACCCGGCAGTGCTCAGGCCTCACTCCTGGCTCTGGGTGGGACTCTGGGACCCTTTGTGGTGCCAGGGATTGAACCAAGGTTGTTCCAAAATAGAGATTAGTGCCTTAATCTCTATACTCTCTCTCTCTGATTCCTGCGGTTGATTATTTTTAGATATGTAAATGATATCTCACAATATATGTCTTTATCTGACTTCACTTAACTGAATATCTTCAAATTTCATCCATGTTGTCACCAATGATGTCTTCTTCTTTGTAGCAGAATATTTCCTTTTTTAAAAAATTTATTTTTGTGTTTTGGGACACACTTGACATGCTCAGGGCTCACTCCTGGCCCTGTGCTCGAGACTCACTCCTGGCAGTGCTGGGGATTGGACCCAAGAGCCTCTCCGCTGTCCTATCTCTCCAGCCCTGAATAACCTTTCCTGACCTGGAGCCGTGCCTGGACATGCAAGTGGTTCTGGTATCTGGAGCACTGTGCCAGTAACACTGGAGTCCGGAGTAGAGGCATGGACCGATTTCAAAACAAACTGATTTCAGTTTGATTTCCTGCAGCTCTGTACCCAGCAGAGCAGTTGCCACTCGCAGGGTGCTTCCATTTCAGATCTGTAGAGGAGCCTCTGTGCTCTTTTCCACGACTGCCTCAGTTTCCCTTCTCCCCAGTGGTGCATGAGAGTCCCCCTTCTCTGTATCCCCCAACATGGTTCTCTCTGCCCAGTTCCCAGAATGTTAATCCTTGGAACAGTGGGGAAGGGGATGGCTTGGTGCTGATCACCCTGACGGATGCAAGCGGGTGCTGACCAGCTTTTCCTAGAGCTGTTGATTCCTTTTTTTTTTTCTTTTTGAGTTATACCTGATAATGCTCAGGGGTTACTCCTGGCTCTGCACTCAAGAATTCCTCCTGGCAGAACTTGGGGGACCATATGGGATGCCAGGGATCGAACCTGGGTTGGCCCCATGCAAGGCAAACACCCTCCCCACTGTATTATTACTCCGGCCCATGTTGACCCATTCCTGTGTCTTCATTGTTTCTAAAAAAAGAAAAAAATGTCTATCCAAGTTGGCTGGCCCCTTCCCACACCTTGGGGTGGCCTGGTGTGAAGCCTTGGGAGGCCTGAGGTGACAGTCACCCAGGATCTGATTCTTGGCTGCAGACCTCCTCCCTCTGTTCCGCCTCTGTGTCGGTCAGCGCTCACTGGGCAGAAGCCGGAGGCTCGGGCAGCCTCTGCACGGGTGGTTCAGGCTCCTGATTTGATGCCCTGAACTCTCCTGGCCAGGCTGGTGCCTGCCAGCTCCTTCCCCGTTCTCTTCTGCCTTCCCTGCTTTCTGGTCTCACAGGAAGCCTTTGTTGTGTTTCAAATCAGTTTCTGAAAGATGCTGGGGCCAAGTTCTGGGGCTGGGATGTGGTTCAGGGCTCTCAGCCTCGTGTCTCTGGTTTTCCGGGTGCGTGGATGGGACGGTCCCTGTCTCCCACCCTCGGGTGTGCTCAGCTCTCTCATCGAGCTGCAGCTGATAACTGGGCAGGAATTTGTCTCTGGTTTGGTTTTGGCGTCTCCATGCCATTGAGACTTTACTCAGGAGGTCCGATGGTTTTCTTGCTCAGCCTTTGGTCGTTTGGGATCTTTGACTGTGCCACGTGAATTTTAGGGTGCTTTTCCTAGTTCTGTGGAAGATGTGTGGATTGGACTTGTGCTAGGGGTGTGGTGGGACACGTGACCACTTGGCACTGTTGATTTTTCCCTTCCAGGCCTATATCACTCAAGGGGTTTTTCCTTATTTCTGGGGGCCACACCTGGAAGTGCTCCGGGCTGGGCTAACTCCTGGCCCTGTGCTCAGGAGTCACTCTTGGCAGGACTGGGAGGGGCCATATGAGGTGCTGGGGATCTAACTCAGGCCGGCCACATACAAGGCAAATGCCCTCCCCGCTATGCTGTTGTGCTGGCCTGTTTTTTTCTCAAACAAACACTGTCCTCCCATTGTTCATCAGTTTGCTCGAGCAGGTCCAGTAACGTCTCCATTTTGAGACTTGTTACTGTGTTTGGCATATCGAATCTGTCACAGGGAGCTTGCCAGGCTTTGCCATGTGGGCGAGATACTCTCGGTAGCTTGCCGGGCTCTCTGAGAAGGGTGGAGGAATCGAACCTGGCTCGGCCAGGCTGGCTGCGCACAAGGCAAACGCCCTACCGCTGTGCTATCGTTCCAGCCCGTTTTTTCTAAATTATTTTTTTTATTTCATTTTGACTTATTCATTGTTCCTGAGCGTGCTACTTCCACCTACTCGCTTGTTTTCCGCTTTCCCCATTTTTAGTTTCCGGTTTCGTACCACGGTGGTCGGAAAAGCTAAGACGTGGTTTACACCAGGAGTAATTCCTGAGTGCAGAGCCAGGAATAACCCCTGGGCATCGCTGGGTGTGACCCAAAAAGCAAAAAAAAAAAAAAAAAAAAAAAAAAGACCTGGTTTAAACCTTGGCCGGGTCAAGGCTCAGAACTCTTAGCTGGCACCAAGCCAGAGCCTGTGTGGTGCGAGAAGTGAAGGGAGATGTACCCTGTGGCCTGCGGTGGCTTCCCCTGGGGCCCAGCGCGTGAGCTGCCCCGGGAGCCGTTCTGGTTGTCTGCGTGGGAGCTGCAGGTTCTCACCGCCTACCCGGCTGCTCCGTGGGTCTGCAGCCTTGCCCACTCCCGCGGCAATTCTCTATCAGGTTGATTCTGTCCTTGTGGAACCCGGGACCAGGTCCCTGCCATGCCTGGTTGCGGCTTCCTCCCTTTGGTCGTGACTGTCCGCCCTGCCGAGTTTGAGGACTTACTGAGCAGTGGCGGCCACACCTGCCTTGTCTCTCTGGGGGCACTCCCCGTGATGTGCGGGACCACTGTTGCCGTCTTCCTCCCGGGAATGCCATGTGGTGCCAGGAAGCAAGCCCGGGCCTCCACATGCCTGGCTGTGGTGGCGGCTCTGCACCTGGTGCCCATTTGGGCGGCGCTCTCCCCCTTCTCACTCATGGTCGCGTGCTCTGGAGCTGCCCGTGGTGTTCCAGCCTCAACAGAGCCCTTGGGGGGGTCTCCCGCTCCCCTGCCATGTCCACCCACCCACCACCCCCTCTCTCCCCGCCCTAGGTGACAACATGTACAGCTGTGAGCGGTGTAAGAAGTAAGTGTGTACCTCCGGGGCTGCTCCCCCCGCCCACGCCTGCCCCCTGCATCCCGCCCTCAGCGAGCCGCTCCCTGACCTCTGAGCGACTGAAGTGGGGGCTCCGCCACCCGCCAGGGTGCTCACCGCGCCCCGCTCTCTCCCGCCAGGCTGCGCAACGGGGTGAAGTACTGCAAGGTGCTGCGGCTCCCAGAGGTCAGTGCCGTGCGGAGGCCGCTGCTGCTCCCTCTGTGGGGCCAGGGCTCAGCCGACAGTGCTCAGTGCTGCCTCCTCTCCCCCTCGTCTCCCTTTCTCTTCTTCTCTGTCTCCTTCTCACTCCCTGCCCCCTCCATGAGGGCCCCTGGTGCTGGTGGTACCTTGGCCGTGGCTGCCGTGGGGCAGCTGGTGTGGCTGTGCAGGGAGTGGGAAGGAACAGCTGGGCTTGGGGTCGGGGCGGAGGCGGTGGTGGAGATTTGGGGAGTCTTTGAGGCAAAGCCTCTCCAGGCAATGCCAGCAGAGTCGGGCCTGGGGTTTCTTAGGCTGTAAAGTCCCGGAACAACCGGGAGACTCCCGGGGGCCAAATGGCACACACCTGTTTTCCGCCCTCTGCCTGCTGCCACTGGGAGAGCAGGCCTGGGGAGGGGGCCCTTCAGGAGCCCCTCGGGTCACCATGGCTGCCACCCGCACCCCCAGATCCTGTGCATCCACCTGAAGCGCTTCCGGCACGAGCTGACCTACTCCTTCAAAGTCAGCAGCCGGGTGGCCTTCCCCCTCGAGGGCCTCGACCTGCGCCCCTTCCTCGCCAAGGAGTGCGCGTCCCAGATCGCCACCTACGACCTCTTGTCCGTCATCCGCCACCATGGCACGGCAGGCAGTGAGTGTGGCCCGGCCCCCCCACCCTCCTCTTTCCATCCCGGCCCCCTCGTCCTGTTTCTCCCACCCTGTCCCCCACTCTGCCCCAGCACCAGCCCCCGCCCCGGGGGTCTGAGCGCGGCCCCGCCGCAGGTGGCCACTACACCGCCTACTGCCAGAACGTCATCAACGCGCAGTGGTACGAGTTTGATGACCAGTATGTCACCGAGGTCCACGAGACGGTGGTGCAGAACGCCGAGGCCTATGTCCTCTTCTACAGGTGAGCGGGACATGGCGAGCCTCCAGGGGGTGCTGCTCTGGGCTCACCCATCCCCAAGAGTCTCTGCTCGGAGGGCAGAGGTCCAGGGCTTAATAAAGAGTATCTGGCTGCCCAGGAAAGAGTGGACACCACAGTCTGCTTTGGTCCTGGGGTACTGGTACAGGTTGAGTCAGGGGCTGTGGGGACCTGGGACAGGAGTGGGGGGCTCTGGGCATCAGGGACCCGGGACAGGAGTGGGGGGCCGTGGGGACCCGGATCAGGAGTGAGGGATTGTGGGGACCCGGGCCAGGAGTGGGGGGCTGTGGGGACCCGGGCCAGGAGTGAGGGACTGTGGGGACCCGGGCCAGGAGGAGTGGGGGGCTGTGGGGACCCGGGCCAGGAGTGAGTGACTGTGGGGACCCGGGACAGGACTGGGGGGCTGTGGGGACCCGGGACGGGAGTGGGAGGCTGTGGGGACCCGGGTCGGGAGTGGGGAGCTGTGGGGACCCGGGACAGGAGCGGGGGAACTGTGGGGACCCGGGACAGGACTGGGGGACTGTGGGGACCCGGGACAGGAGTGGGGGCTGTGGGGACCCGGGACAGGAGCGGGGGAACTGTGGGGACCCGGGACAGGACTGGGGGACTGTGGGGACCCGGGACAGGAGTGGGGGCTGTGGGGACCCGGGACAGGAGCGGGGGAACTGTGGGGACCCAGGACAGGACTGGGGGGCTGTGGGGACCCGGGACAGGAACCGGGGGACTGTGGGGACCCGGGACAGGACTGGGGGGCTGTGGGGACCCGGGACGGGAGTGGGAGGCTGTGGGGACCCGGGACAGGAGTGGGGGCTGTGGGGACCCGGGACGGGAGTGGGGGGCTGTAGGGACCCGGGACAGGAGTGGGGGGCTGTGGGGACCCGGGACAGGAGCGGGGGGGCTGTGGGGACCCGGGACAGAAGCGGGGGGGGGGGGCTGTGGGGACCCGGGACAGGAACCGGGGGACTGTGGGGACCCGGGACAGGAGTGGGGGCTGTGGGGACCCGGGTCGGGAGCGGGGGGCTGTGGGGACCCGGAGCAGACGCCCAACCCCGCGCAGGAAGAGCAGCGCGGAAGCGGCCCGGGAGCGGCAGCAGGTGGTGGCGCTGGCGGCGCTGCGGGAGCCGGGCCTGCTGCGCTTCTACGTGTCCCGGGAGTGGCTGAACAAGTTCAACACCTTCGCCGAGCCGGGGCCCATCACCAACCACACCTTCCTGTGCCCGCACGGAGGTGAGGGCGCCTTCGGGGAGGGGCGGGCGGGCGGCGCGGCCACCCCTGTGCTGGCGCCCTGCTCCTCCCCGCAGGCATCCCGCCGCACAAGTACCACTACATCGACGACCTGGTGGTGATCCTGCCGCAGAACGTGTGGGAGCACCTGTACAACAGGTGCGCGGGACCCCAGCCGGCCCCCGCTCCGCTGTCAGCCCGCGGGCTTTGGGGTTCAGGTCCATCCGCCCGAGCAGCGCGTGGCGGCGCCTCCGGGACCCGCGTCTGCGCCTCGTGCCTCCCCTCATGTCTCCCTTCGCCCGCGCAGGTTTGGGGGCGGCCCCGCCGTGAACCACCTGTACGTGTGCTCCAGCTGCCAGGTGGAGATCGAGGCGCTGGCCAAGCGCCGGCGGATGGAGATCGACACCTTCATTAAGGTGCGGGGCGGGACACGGGGAGGCTGCTGGGGCTCATGGGAACCCAGACATGAAGGCGTGCAGAGCTCCCCTCCCCCCCTCCCCCCCGCGCCACGGGCACTAGGCTCCTCTGTGGGGCATGGCCCCTGCTTGGCGTTGAATGCACTGCGAGAGGGCTGGGGTGGGGCCTCAGCTGCAGCCCCGCCTCCTGCTCCGTGATGCTCGGAAACCCAAGGCCCCAGGGCCACGGAGATGCTCAAGTAGCAGCTCGAACTTGTAGGAAGGAGCCCAGCACTGCCCCTCTAAGCCCCGCCCTGCCGGGACTCTGCCCACCCAGACTGCGCATCCAGACTCCGCCCCCATGCAAGCCCCGCCCCAACTAGGCTCTGTCCCCTCTAAGCCCCGCCCCACTCAGACTCTTCACCTAGACTCCGCCCCCATGCAAGCCCCGCCCCACTCAGACTTAGTCCTAAGCCCCGCCCCATCCGGATCCGCCCACCCAGGCTGCGCATCCAGGCTCCGCCCCCATCAAGCCCTGCCCCAACCAGGCCGTCCCATCTAGACTCTGTCCCCTCTAAACCCCGCCCCAATTAGACTTAATCCAGACTCTGCCCCGTACAAGCCCCGCCCCATTCAGGCTCAGTCCTACCTAACCCCGCCCCATCTGGATCTGCCCACCCAGGCTGCGCATCCAGGCTCCGCCCCCACCCCATACAAACCCTGCCCTACCAGACTGCACCAATAGCCGTCCATCCAGACTCCGCCCCCATATAAGCCCCGCCCCGACCAGACTGCCCGGTCTAGGCTCTGTCCCATCTAAGCCCCACCCAGCCCTGACTCTTCATCCAGACTCTGCCCCATACAAGGCCCCGCCCCACCTAGACTCCGCCCTCATATAAGCGTTGCTCCAACCAGACTGCCTCATCTAGGCGCTTTCCCTTTTAAGCCCCGCCCCACCCAGATTCGGCGCACCCAGGCTCCGCCCACGCACAGGCCCCGCCCATCCAAGCTCCTTCCCATCCAGACTGCCCCCCCCCCCCCCCCCCCCGCGCCCGTAAAGGCTTCACCCCTACTCCCCCAGCAGTGCAGCGGTGATGGCCCCCAAACTACTTGCCTCCGTGGCTACGAGCCTTACCCCTTCAGAAAGAGCCAAGAGGAGGCCCTGAGCTCCGCGCAGTATGGCCCCCAAACTCGCCCCCCCAAAAGAACTTTCCTCCAGGTGTGCCAGAGTTCCTGGAGCCCCCCCCCCCGCCCTGAGAGCCAGCGGGGTACTGCATCTTGGGGTGGGGGCAGCGATCCTCATCTGGACACTGATGTGGCGGGGGTGGCCCCACGGGGGAACGAAGATGGGCGAGATGCTGGGGGGGGCAGGGCCGCGTGCTGGGGGTCGCTCAGCTCGCCTTGGAGCGCAGGGGCGTCAAGGAAGGTTGGAAACCGAATCCCTAGGCCTCTACCACTGGCAGCCCAGGCGAGGGGGTGGGGGATGGGAATTCCTCTCGCCTTTTCTCCCTAGTGTGGGGGGAGAGTTGGCTGATGCTGATGCTGCCTCCTCCCCCGACCCCCTGCCCCCAGCTGAACAAGGCGTTCCAGGCCGAGGAGTCCCCTGGCGTCATCTACTGCATCAGCATGCAGTGGTTCCGGGAGTGGGAGGCCTTCGTGAAGGGCAGGGACAGTGGTGAGTGCAGCCGCCAGCCTCCAGCCTGCACCTGGGGCTCCGCCTCAGCCCGCACCCGGGAACCCCACCCTCAGCCCGCACCTGGGAACCCCACCCTCAGCCTTCACCCCAGGAACCCCACCCTCAGCCGGGGACTCCGTCTCAGCCTACACCCGGGAGACTGTGCCTCCACCCTGAGCCAGGACAGGAAGCCCAGGGCGAGTGTGGGGGAGGCAGTTGGCCCAGAGCCCTGAGCTGCACCCCCCTTGCAGAGCCCCCAGGGCCTATTGACAACAGCAAGATCGCGCAGGTCAAAGGCAGCGGCCACGTCCAGCTGAAGCAGGGTGAGTGTCGGGGTGCCGCCCGATGGGGTGGGGGTGGGGGTGCCCTGCCCCAGGCACTGACCTTCCCCCTCTATAGGGGCTGACTACGGGCAGATCTCCAAGGAGACGTGGGGTTACCTGAGCAGCCTGTACGGCGGGGGCCCCGAGATTGCCATCCGTCACAGCGTGGCCCAAGCCCCGGACCCGGAGAACCTCTACGGCGAGCAGAAAATTGAGGCGGAGACCCGCGCCCTGTGACGGGGCTGAGCCCCACGTGCTGTGACTTGGGGGCCTGCACGCCCCTTTGCCCTCTGCAGGGACACTCTGCTCCCCTGCACACGCCCTGCGGGGGTCCCTTGGGCCCAGGGATGGGCTGGCCCCCCTGGCCCACCTGTGTCCCCATCCCATGGGGGCGCTGGGCCCCGGGAGGCAGCAGGGAACCCATGGGAACCCCGGCTGTGAGCGGCAGGAGGCGGCGCCCGGGGACAGAGCGGCCAGCTCGGTGTCTGCTGGCGTCCACTCACCCGTCCTGGCGCCCCCAAACCTGGCCTGAGCCCTCAGCCAGGGCCACCGCTGCTGGGTGCCACTTAGACGTGGGCAGATGAGTAGAGCGCCCAGTGCCCACCGAGGGCCCTCCAACTTCCTGCTGAGCCCCACACCTCCCTCCACCTCCTGGGGACCCTCAGTGCTCAGGCTCGTGGCTTCCATCCAACAGGTGGGGACCCCAGAGGGGGTGGGTTCCATTCCTAGGGGCTGTTTCTGGAAGCTTCTGGCTGGCCCTGGGGCTTGGCTGTGACCCCACCGACCAGGGAAATGATGATGAACCGGAAATACCTCGAGTGTCTGTGACCTGGCCCCACTCTCAGGAGACGTGGGGAGGTCACAGAGACCCCAGAAAAATTGCTGGGGTCAGAAGGTTACCTCACCCTCCCTCAGCTCACTAGCAGTGGGGAGACGCTCTGGGGTCTTCCGGGGCGGGGGGCGGTGGGGGGAGCCCCGAGGCTGCACGCAGAGCCCCTGCCAGCCGGACTCTTGGCTCACCCTGTGCCATCTTGTCGTATTCAGAATGTCCTAATAAATACTCATGTACCATGGGCGGTGCTGTCATGTTGGGGAACAGGGACGGGACCCCCAAATCTGCACTGAGGAGGTCCACAGGCCTCAGCTGCTCCTCGCTCCAGCGCTCTCGCAGCCAACACCCTCCTCCCCGGCCTCCGGGCTGTCCCTCCCTAGCCCTGGGCTCCCCGGCCTCAAGGGGTGCTTTCCTAGTAGGCACCCCAGGGTTTGGCTTGGTTTGATCGTTTGGACTTGGGTGGGAGGTGGATTCCCTCCCCCACTTCCATACTAGCCCCTTGGGGTCTCCTGACTGTCCCGCGAAGTTCACCCTGTAGTTTCCCCACATGCATCTAAGCAGATTCCGATCACACCTCCCCAACACCCCCCCATATGGCCCGTGGGGCTCTGCACCCCTTTTTTTCCGACACTGTTTTGACTCTGATTCCTGGAAGGTTCAAGAAATACAGGAAGGAACCAACACGCTTTCTCAGTGTTTCCCTCACAGGGCAGGAGAAAGGGGGGCTGGGGCCCCTGAGCACCACCAGGGGTGACCCCCAACAGCACAGAAGAAAACACAAACATTTTCTCCAGGGAGCCTGGCGAAACCCTCCTTCCCGGGGTGTCAACTGCATCTGCGCATTGCAGGGGCACAGAGCCCCCCGCAGCACAGCTGTCTGTGGGTCTGTGACTTTGCCACCTCCCCTCACTTCTCATGAAGCTGCCTTGGCCTTGCATGTGGCCAAGCCGGGACCCCATGTGGTCTCTGAGCTCCTCCGAGAGTGCTCCCTGACCAGAAGGCAGCCCTGAGCACCTCTGGGTGTGCCATCCTCCCCCCAAACAAAACGGGCCAAGGCACTGGACAGTGAGGAAGGCGTTTGCCTTGCACTTAGCTGTCCCGGGTTCGATCCCCGGCATCCTCTATGGTCCCCTGTGCCTACTAGGAGTGAGCCATGAGTGTAGAGCCAGGATTAACCCTTGAGCACTGCTGGGTGTGGCCCCCAAAACAAAAAACCCCAAACTCCTCCTCCCCAAACAAACTCCATTTGAAGGTGCAGCCCCCAGGAGATGACACGGCCCTGAGTCCTCGGGGCAGCACTTCTGAGAGTGAGAGAATGGGGAAATGGGCTGAGGCTGGAGAGGAAGCACGAAGGACGGCCATATGCCAGCAGAAATGTTCTGGAAACTGCCAGGGAGGCGGGTATATTTGACTCCAGCAGGGACACAGGTGAAGGGGTGCGGGGAGGGTGCCGGGTGCGGCAGCCCCGCCTTCCTCTCACTGCGCCGGTCCCCACAGGTTGGTTCCTCCTCGGTGACCCCAGCCGGGAGAGATCACGACATCACTGTCCCCAAGTCAGTCAGGACCCAATGGCGTGTGACATCTTTTGAGGGATAACTCTGCACCCCCCTCCCCCCAAGTGGCTGCTGAGGGCCTGTGTCCAGCCTTTGAGGGAGGGCAGCAGAAGCCAGGCAGGAAGTGGGGGCCACCCCTGGGTGTGATGGGGGGTGCAGTCAGGAGCTGCCTCCTCCGTCGCCCCAAGTCACGGGCCAGAGAACCAGTGAGGCTGATTCTGCTGCAGCCTGACTTGCAGATTGTTCTGAGGTCTCCTTCACCGGGAGAGACAGAGGGAGGGTGTTTGCCCTCCACGCTGCAAACCTGGGGTTCGATTCCCAGTCACCCCATATGGTTCCCCAAACTATACAGATGTGATCCCTGAGTACAGAGCCGGGATAAACTCTGAGCACTGCCACCAGGTGTGGCCCCAAAAACAAACCCAACACAGGAGCTGCGTGTGCGGCTTAGCATAGAGCACACGCTCTGCGTGCTTCAGCCCTGGGTTTGAGCCCCGGAACTGCCAATAAAGAGACAGGGTCCTGCTGAGTCCCTCAGCCTGGGCCCCACTGCAGGGACCCGAGTAACTGCTCCTGGCGGGTCTCCGGTCTCGTTTACTGACCTGTGCGTCCACAAGGGGGCGCACCCCACCAGGGCAAGCGCTGTCTGCCTGGGCAGCAGGTGGCCGCCGGGAGGGCTGGCCCAGAGTCCTCCGGTGGGGATGCCCGGAGCTGACGAGCCTGACTGACTGGCTCCAGCATGGGAAGCCCCACGCCTTCCAGGCAGACTCAGAGAGGGTCAAGTGCTGCCTGGAGGCTTTGCCTCGGCACCCCAGTCTCCCAGGGGGCCCTCACCCCACAACCAGGAAACAGGCTCAGAGACATGGAGCCTATAGGACTAGCCTAGCAACACTGGCAGAAGCTCCTGGGAAGGTTCCAGAACCTTCTGGCTCTTGCGCAGAGGCAGCTGGGAGGTTCCAGAAACCTTAACGAAGCCCAGAGAGATGCCGGAAATCATCTCTCTAAAGTGACCGCTCCCTGCCAGCCTGGGCAGGTCTGACCTGGGTCCTGTTGCATGATGGGAAACGTGACTTGTCCACTGTTGGCGGGGTACCAACCCCGACCTCTGGCGGCCAGCACCTCTTTTGTGAGAGGGCGCCTGTCCCCCTGCGGCCGCAGCCCCTTCCTGGACACTGGCACCGCCCCTTCTGGGGGTAGCTGAGCCCCCACTCCTGGGAGTGAGCCCTGGCAGACCCTAAAGGAGGGGCAAGATTTTCAGCATCAGAGATACAAGCGGGACCCCCTCACCCTGAGACACCCCCCTCTGCGCTGCGACCTTGCAGAGCTGGGCTCCCGGGAGCACCCCTCTGCTGAGCCCCCCTCCCACGCTCACGACTCTGTGAAGCCTTGTGCCCCTAAGCGGTGACCAGGCAGTGAGGCCTGCGTGGGATGTCAGGGTCCCCCGCTGCCTGGCCTGGAGGACTCCGGCCCAGAGAGGAGGCGGGGAGCCGTGCCGGAAGTTACCACTTTATTTACCGTGTGGAGGGTGAACAGTTACAAGGCCTCGCACCCGCGCCTGCCGAGGGAAACGCTTGATTTGGTTTGATCCCTTCTCTGGAGACCCCACAGGCTGTCCTGGGGCGATGGCCACGCGAGAAGCCCCGAAGCTGAGAGTGAGCGCGAGACACTGGCTTTCCTGGGCCCAGCTGGCGCCCACGGCAGCGTGGAGCGTCTGCACCCATCACAGGAGCAGAAGGGGCCTCCGTGGTTCTGCTGGCACTGTACCCCATCGGAAGCCCCCAGAGAGCGGGGTAACGAGCCCAGTTTGCCCTGGAGGCTCCCCGGGCTGGCCTCGCTCTCCAGACACCAGAATTTCTGACGCCATCAGCCGGGGCATCAGGAGGGCTCTGGGGAGACGCGTCTTTACTCTAGGGAAGCTGTCCTGAACCCCAGAGGGGAGCCCCAGTGGGCAGTCATAGGCTCTGGGCCACCACAGTGCAACTCAGCATCTCACCAGCACCGTGGCTCTGGGAGGGCGGGGGTGGGTGGGCGCGCAAGGCTGCAAACGCCTCAGTTCTGTTCAGGACGCAGGTGGCCCAGGGCAGGAGGCCTGGGGGGGAATGGAGGGCACAAGCATAGTGGACACGGGGGTCTAACTGACATCCAGAGGACAAACCGTTGGATGTCTACCCTTCCCCTATGTGGTGTGAAACAAACTGATCCCGGATGGAAGATGACATGTGTCTGCAACACAGGGCTGGCCACGGGCGCGACGGAGGCTGCTGGGGCGGTCAGGGGTAGCTGGACTTGCAGAACCGATGAGTCTGTGAGTCACCTGTCCTCTTTGGAGAATGAGGCGTGCGGAGGCGGGGTGCTCTGGTCCCCGTTCCTGGCCCAGCTCCGGGGGAGGGAGTAAGGGCCACAGCTCTCTGGCTTATACCCCCAGCGCCCCTTCCTCCCGGCCATCACTTGTGGCATCGTATCAGCATGGGTCGGTGGAACTGACCCGGAGGGCGGTGGCACCGGGCACCTGGGTTTGCCAAAAAAAATCCGCCCCAAGGCCCCTTACCCCCACCCCCAGCTTCCAGGCGGCTTCCTTCTCGGCATCATGAACGTGGCAAAGGAGTGAGGCCCTGGTGGCCGGCCAGTGAGCTGACGCCCGGTCAAAGGGAAGCTGCCCGGGGGTTGTCTCAGTGCTGGGTTCCTTCCGGTTCTGTTGTTCTAAGGCATGTTGGCCGCCTCCAGGGGCCGGGAAGGACCCGGGGTGCACCAGGCCCGTGGGTCTTTGGCGACGGAAGCGCTAAGTGCTACGTTGGACAGGAGCCAAGGCAAAGGCTCCTCCGTCAGGGGCTCTATGGTGGCGCTGGGCCCCTCCTGGACTTCAGGGAAGGTGGTCGCAGGGCTGGCCCGGGGGCAGGAGGCGGGTTTGTAGGGAGCCCCTTGCGGACCCCTGATGACAGGGCCCCCGAGATATGTGCCGGGGGAGAGTGCAAGCATGCATGTGTGGGGCATGAGTGTGTGGGCACACGGGTGCCCGCGATGGAGTGTGTGTATGCACATGTGTGCATGGGCTGAGTATGGACACGCGGGAACGCGCTGGCGCCCCCTTGGGCACCTTCCGGCGGGAAACTCGGGTCCCCTGAGTGCCTGATCCGTGGGTCCCCCAGGAGACCAGCGGCGAGTCTCACGAAGGCACAGTGTGATCCGTGGCCAGGCCTGGACACGCCGGGTGGGTGAGGGCTGAGGGAGGGACGCAGGAAGGAGCAGTGGACGAGCGTGTCCCGCCACGGCCCCGCGGGGGGTGGGGTGGGAGGGGGCTGGGGCGCGGGACAGCCCGCGGAGAGGCAGCCTGTTGGGGCCCGGGACATGCTGTCAGGAAGGGCTGGGGGGCGCGGGGGTCACTGCACACGGAGGCTCCGAGGCCGCGCGCCCAGCCTCAGGGGCGCTGCATGGTGGGGTGGGGCGTGGGGACAGGCGGCCTCTTCCAGGGCAGGTCCCCGAGGTCTGGCTCCCGTGACCACCTTTACGGATCTACAACACAAGAGAGAGAAACACGGGTTAGTGGGGGCACCGGTGGGCGGTCAGGGCGGGGACACCCAGGGCACTGGGACGTGAGGAACTTTCACGGTTTCTCTCCGACAGACATGTGCCCTCCAGCCACGGGCCCAGATCTGGGAAGGCGGACAGCACCCAGGATGCCCCGGGGCGATGCCTCAGGATGATGCCTTGGGCCTTCCCAGGATGCCTAGGGCAAAACCACAGGGCCTCCTCAGGTTGCCTCGGGGTGATGCCTTCGGGCTTCCTGAATGCCTCAGGCCCTCCCAGGATGCCTTGGGGCCTCCCAGTGAGCTCCTGGGTCTGCAGCAGCAGAAACAGTGAGACTCAGTGGGAGCAACACCGGGGGCCCCCGGTGTTGGCTGAGCATGAAACAGTGAAAGTTCTTCGCAGGTGGGGGCAGGAGACAGTCTCGAGGCGCAGGTGCGCGCAGGGGAGGAGCAGTGGTCACTGGCAGGGGACAGGGCAGAAGACAATTTTTTTAAAGCATTTGGCTAGGAAATGACCCCATTACTGAAAGAAGAAAGGTAAATATTTGTATTACACAGAACAATTGTCCGGGAGAGGTGAAAAGTCATGTCAAGTACACAACACAGAGAAAAATACGACGTTTATTAGAGAGGCAGATTTGAGGGGAGGGCTAAAAGCAGCCAGCCAGAATCTTTCTGGTAGGGGGGACAGAGAGGGGGCAGCCACAGGGGCCGTTTGCAGAGAAACTTACTCAGAACCCAAGTGTCTACAATAAACTCAAGGTCGGAGCAGCGGCAGGGCCTAGCTACCGGCAGGGCAGCCGTCCTTCCGGCTCCCCCCACGGCTACAAACCCCAAAGGCAGCAGAATCGCCAATAAAACAAACAGACAAAAGAGTCAAACATTAACACAACAAATTCAAGGCATCCTTTTCTTTTTTTTTTCCCCTCCTTTTTGGGTCACACCCAGCAATGCACAGTGCACAGGGGTTCCTCCTGGCTCTGCACGCAGGAATTACCCCTGGCGGTGCTCAGGGGACCATGTGGGATGCTGGGAATCGAACCCGGGTCGGCCATGTGCAAGGCAAACACCCTACCCGCTGTGCTGTCACTCCAGCCCCCATCCTTTTCATTTTTAACTGGCGGTATACACACAGGGGCGGGGCGGCCAGGGAGTCATGGCATATTTCATAGAGAGCAAAAACAAAGCACACCCGGCAGCCACCAATCCAGGCAGGCCAGCTGGAGGGGACGCTAGTCTAAATATTTTGGTAATATTTAAATAGTTACATGGCAGACACCACGCGCACACAAGATGGCATTACTGAAAATGACTGAGTAACAGGCGTGAGAAAACTCAGCCGGCCGCCCGCTGGAGGGGAGGCGGCCGCTTCAAAAACAAGGCGTGGCCCCCAGGCACCCCCCAAATCAAAGCAGACCATCTCACACACAAGCGGTACCTCAGCGGCTTATAGGGAACGCTGGGAGGAAACCAGAGGACTAGGCTGGGGCTGGAATTCCCCGTCCTGGGAACCGGCTCCATCCTCTCTCTCTAGCCACGCCCACTTCTCACGGTCAGCACCCGGCAAACCTGGGAACTAGCTGATGCCACCAACCCAGTCTTCCTGAGTTGAATCTGCACAAGGCTGAAAACACACACACACACACACACACACACACACACACACACACACACACAGGGGTTTGGGGGGTGGGTCTGCAGGAAGTTGGTTGACGCGTCCACAGAAGGCTGCAGCTTGTCTGGAATGGGTCCACATCCAACAGTGGGTTTCACTTTGGTATCTCGGGGTCCCCTTTCCCTTGGCTCAGCCCTCCCACGCTCATCCCCTCACCCTGTTTGGGGGAGGCCTGTGGATTTTTTCTCGGTGACCCGTGAGAGAGAGGAAAAATGCTGGACATCAGACGGCCACCCCTGCCCAGTTCAGCAGACTGGGACGGCAGACTCCCACTAGCCAACACGAGCTTCTTGCCCCGGGGACTGACCCAGACCCATCAGGCCCATGGCTGGGGCTGGGGTGGAGGCAGCAGAGACTGGGATCTCCCTGGCGGTCAACGGGAGAGACAAGGCAAAGGACTTTGGTGGACCGTGGGTCACAGATGTGAATTTCCGGCTGGAACACGCAGAGAGCCATTGGGGTGCACGCGGTGGTCGCTGCGGAAGTCACTACCCAGCCAGGGAAGAACCGAGACGGGGAGTTGGTTTCCTGTTTCGCTTTTTTCTTGTTTTTGAGCCACACCTGGCAGTGCTCAGGGCTCATTCCTGGCAGGCTGAGGGGGACTCTATGGGACGCCGGGGATCACACGCAGGTAGGCCGTTTGCAATTGCCCTAATCACTGGATATTGCTCCCACCCCCCTTATATATATATTTTTCTTTTTTCCCCCCTTGTGGTTTTGGGGCCACACCTGGCAGTACTCAGGGACTGTCTGGGCTCAGTGCTCAGGAGTGACCCCTGATGGATCATATATGGTGTTGGGGATCCAACCAAGAGTGGGGAAAAGTGCCTTAACCCTCGACCCCCTGGAAGGATCAGGGACTGTCAAAACCCAACCTCAGGATCGCCCTCACTCCCCAGGAGATGTTCCTGGGGTCTGGAATCAGGGAACTGTTAGCAATGGCCCTCCCCACCTTGGGTTTGCCACCCCACCTACCCATATAACTAATGACATACTTTGACCCGGAAATGGAAAATTCCCCTTGACAGGAACCCCAACCTCCCCAATGCAGGGGAGAAGCATTTTACTAAGTTTCTCGTTCAGTCCATCCGAGAAAAATACATTTCACTGCAGAGCCATCAAGTTCTGGTCCCCACCCCCGGTAACACTGAAGAAGGTTCGCCTAATGCCGCACCCCACGTTTCCTGGGGGAAAAAGTTGGCGTAAAATCTGCAACAATTATGGAGTGAAATATGGTCAGCACTCTAAGACCAGGGGGCAGCAAGTTCACACACGGGGTCTCCAAGATCCCAAGAATAAAAACAAAACAAACAGAAAAACCACCCCAAGGCCACCCCAGGCCCCTCTAGGGAGACAATATGTGTGTGTGCGCGGGCGATCATGTGTCTGGTCGTGGTTCTGTGAGAGCACCGTGGACCCCCAAACTTGTCTGCAGCACAACCCCTGGTGAGCCCTCAAGTTCCCTCCAGCTCCCGCGTGTTCCCAAGGTCAGTGACACGGGGTCCCAATTTCTGGGGCGTTGTGGGGGACCATGCAGGCTTTCAGGAGAAGCACTGCAGTGCCCTGTTGTGGGGGGCTGTGCAGGGGGTGTTCTGGGCATCTCTGCAAGAATCTTCTTGACTATTTACTCAAGGATGGGGGGCAGTGGGTGGCGGGGAGCCCCGACCTGCTGGCAGGGTGATCGATGGCGAAACTAAACAAAGTAACAATAGTTTAATGTATTATGTTGCAAAATATAACGGTCTAGCTGGGCTTGCAGCCTCAGGGACCTCACCTTCTCCCCAGAGCCAGAGGCTGCCCGCCCCTCCGCCCCCACAGGTTGGGGTCTCTGGAAGGGGAGGTGCCGGGAGCCGGGGCTCAGGCGCGTCCTTCGCCAGTGCCCGGTGACACGGCCGTGCGGGGCGCGGGCTCGAACCGGCGGCTGTTTGTAAGTGGAATTAAATATAGGTCTTAGCACCTTTGCCATTTTTGTCCAAATACACTTCGACGTAGGATGTGGGCACGTAGCCCTCCTCGTCTTCGTTCCTGCGGATGCGGGTCCAGCCGTCGCCTTTGTCCTCCTCGATGACGTACAGCATCTCCCCTTCGGCCACGGAGATGGTCCCCTCGTTCTGGCCTGGAAACGGAAGGTGGGGCGTGAGGCTGCTGAGCCAGGCCGGACAAAGGGCAGGGGGACTTCTCCATGAGCCCCCCTCCGCCAGAGGCTTCTCCCTCCCAGAATACCCCCTGGTGTGCCCCCTCTTCCTTCCCAGGACGGCAGGGGCACGGGGTGTCTGGGGTGTCCAGCGCCCCACCACCCCCCTCCTGGAGAAAGTATCCAAAGGGTGTCCTCAGCGCTGCTTCCAACAGCCCCCACCCTTCTGTGCAAAAGTTGGGGACCAAGTCCGAGATGCTCCCCAAAGCCCACTGCTCCGGGCCCCTCCCTGAATTGTCACTGAGGATTGGGGGACGGGAGCTGGAGGGCGCTGGTGCTTGGGAGACTCTCTGGGATGTGGGGATTGAACCTGGGTCAGTCACATGCAAGGCAAGCGCCATGGAAAAGAAAAACGTTCATCCAACCAGGGCGAGGCCCAATGGACTGGGCACAGGCTTGGCGCGCGGGAGACCCCGTTTGAACCCGAGCCCTGCACAGCGCATGCACAGCCCGCAAGCATCGTCCCCTGGGCACCGCCAGGTGTGCTGACAAACCGCAGGTGGAGAAGCGCCCACTTCTTGCAAGGAGGGGGTGCCGTAAAGCCCAGTCAGAGCTCGAGGGCCTGTGTCCAGCCTCGTCCACCTAGGCAGCTCCAGGCTGGGTTTCGTTCTTTGAGGTTCGCAATGGACCCAGGGCCACACACGGGCGGGACAGGCGCTATACCCCATGCCACGCCGGGCCCAGCCTGGGCTTGTCTTTCTAACCACAACCAGTGTCTGCTGGGGCTATGGTGACAGTTACATGCATGCAGCACATATAGTCCATGAAGTACATGCTTGTCTTGATCAATACCCGGCACCAAATATGGTCTCCCCAGAACTGCCAAGAGACCCCTGAACACAGGGGAAGTAAGTCCTCAGCACTGCTGGGGGTGGCCCCCAAACCCAAATCCCACCAAACCACCAGCGTCTACTGGTCTGCTGGACTCCCTGTGAAGGCAATGTAGGTCTGAGGGCAGGGTGTGGTCCGAGATGACATAGCCCCATCCCTGGGGGTGACGCACAGAACCCAAATCTCCCCCCACCCGCCCTGGGCCTGCGTGTGTCTAGTGGCAACTCCCCCCAGCACCCCCGAGACATCTCAGTTCCAGCCACAGCCCTCCCGTGCCCATGCCTGCGACCGCAGGGCCACCACCTCTCCCAAGCACCAGCGAAGTTCCAGAACGCTCTAGGAAGTGCTGCTGTTCTCCGGGGAGACGCCCTTCCTGGCCCCCCACAGGCTGCAGCATCCTCAGAGCAGGAAGCGCTCCCAGTCTGTCTCCTTTCTCCTTCCCAGGACAGATACCTGAGGCCAGAGCAATAGCACAGTGGGGAGGTACTTGCCTGGAGCACAGCCAACCCAGGCTCAATCCCTAGCACCCCCTATGGTCCCCCGAGCCCCACCAGGAGTGATCCCTGAACACAGAGCCAGGAGTAGCCCTTGGGCACCACTGGATGTGGCCCCCAAATCAAAACAAACAAAAAACACCACCACCAAGGACCCCACCCCGCCGCACCACAGTCTGGAAGGTCTGCCCAAGACAGGCTCGGTAAAGACTGAATGAGTGGAACCAGCAACTCTCCGGGCCACCAGCTGGTGTGGCGCCCAGCACTGTATGACTGGATGGGCCAAACCTTAAAACATCGCCAGTAATACTTGGAGCAGAACAAGAGTCACCCAGAAAGACAGCACAGACCATCTCCCTTGCACGCGGTCGATGCTGGTTCAATCCCCAGCACTGCACATGGTCCCCCACGTACCACCGGCATCCCTCCAGAGCACAGAGCCAGAAGTTAGACCCAGATCAGTGTCTGATGAGGTCCAAAACACAACCCCCGTCCCACAACAAAACCAAAACTAAAATTCGAATTAAAAAGACCAGAAGGGACCAGAGCGATAGCACAACTGGAGGGCATTTGCCTTGCATGTTCAGTGGACCCAGGTTTGATTCCCAGCATCCCATATGGTTCTGGGAGCGCACTGCCAGGAGTCATTCCTGAGTGCAGGGCCAGGAGTAACCCCTGTGCATCACCAGGCATGGCCAAAAATAAATAAATAAATACATAAATAAATAATGACAATAAAAGACATTTTTAAAAAATTGAAAAACCAGGAAGTCCACTGATCACAGAATGGCTCAGTGCACTCCAGGCTGGGGGTGGGGCTGACATGGGGGCGCGTTTTACCTTCGAAGGTGTAGAGAGCTTTACAAGTGCCGATGGCCGGAAGGGGTTCCTCGTCGTCAAACTCGTCGTCGAACTCCGTGCCCAGCACCTTCACCTCACTCTCCTGACTCTGCTCCTCCGTGTAACTGCCATCCGGGCTGCTCAAGAGAGGCAGACACGGGGCCTCTATAGCGCCTGCCCGGCCCCGCCCCACCCCAGAGGGCCCTCCCCAGGCCCCGCCCCACAAGGGCGCTCCAATCAGGTCTGCCAGTCAAGCCCCGCCCCACAAGGGCGCTCCAATTAGGTTTCTCAGCCAGGCCCCGCCCCAAAAGGATGCTCCAATCAGGCTCCTCCAGCCAGGCCCCGCCCCACAAGAGCACTCCAATTAGGCTCCTCAGCCAGGCCCTGCCCCACAAGGATGCTCCAATCAGGCTCCTCCAGCCAGGCCCCGCCCCACAAGGGCGCTCCAATCAGGTCCGCCAGTCAAGCCCCGCCCCACAAGGGCACTCCAATTAGATTTCTCAGCCAGGCCCCGCCCCAAAAGGATGCTCCAATCAGGCTCCGCCAGCCAGGCCCCGCCCCACAAGAGCACTCCAATTAGGCTCCTCAGCCAGGCCCTGCCCCACAAGGATGCTCCTATCAGGCTCCCCCAGCCAGGCCCCGCCCAAGGGCGCTCCAACCAGGTCCCCCAGCCAGGCCCCGCCCACATGATCGCTCTCAGCCCCAAGTGATTTCCATCAGGCCCCGCCCTACAAGGTCGCTCACAATCAGGCCCCGCCCCACCTGCTTTATAAAGCCCCGCCCTAGATGGTCAAGTCAGTCAGGCCCCGCCCCACAAGGTCGCTCCCAGTTGGGCCCTGCCCCACAAAGCCCCTCCCCACCCTGCCAACAGCATTGCAGGCCCAGGCCAGCCCCTGCGTGCAGAGAGAATCTTGCAGGAGCTTGGGGTGTGGGGTACACGGGGGCGTCAACCGCAGGCAACTGGGCCGCTCAGGGTGGATCAGGCATCCACGCCGCGCAGATACGGTACCTCTCCCGGTCCTGTGCGCAGTTGGTGACGGGCGGTGGCGGGGGCTGTGGCTCATACATCCCACTTTGCCTGCGGGCCTGGTCACTGCGTGCCGGGAGCCGCCCCTCCACCTCGGCCAGCCAGGCCTGTCGGAGAAGCAGCAGTCATGAACCGGAGTGTTCAGGAGGAACAGATAGGCACTGGTTGGTCACCGAGAGTTCGCGAGGGGGCACACGGAGCTGTAATTTATCTGCATGACACTGTCAGAACCTCCTCCCAGGGGGCCAGAGAGAGTGCGGAGATTAAGGCACTCACCTTGCATGCTGATGACCCCAGCACCACATTCAGTCCCCCGAGCACCACCTGTGGTCACTCCTGAGCACAGAGCCAGGAATAGCCCCTGAGACCACCAGGGATGACTCCCAAACCCCAAATCCCCAACAGAAGGACAGAGCATGTGCTTCGCACATGAGGCCCTAAAGTTTGATCCCCAGGACTGCCTGGTCCCCAGAACACTGCTCGGTCCAGGACTGTCACCCTGCAGCATCCCTTTATCAGGGACTGGATATGGCAGGAAATGGCCTGGGGCTCCCGAGCTCTGCTGGGTGGCGTGTGCTCCTCCGATCCCGGTCTGCGCCCAGCTGTCTCTCGCCAGAAGACAGAGGCCCCGTCCATCATGGTCTCCTGATGGGCACCACTGGCCACTTCCCTCCTGGCCAAGCCTTCCCCCTCACCCTCTCCCCATACCTCGAATTTCTGGGACTCCAGCCGCAGTTTCTCAATATTCTGGCTGACTTCCGTGAGCTTGTGGTCCAAACTGGCCGGGTCCCCCATCTGCGGGTTCCTCAGATACACATCTTTCATTTTCGTGATGGCATCTCTGAAACAGATGAGACCAGGGCTGGGTCAGCGAAGCCCATAGAGGAACAAGGACAGCAACGAAGGTGCTCCCCTCCCCCCAAAAAAAAACAGACTTAAAATGTTCTTGCTGTCTGGAAAGGGAAATTAATCTCATCCTCCTTTTGCTCCATGTGAAGAATCCGCCCCTTTCTATGCACTCCAGGGGGCTCTTGGACCCTGCAGCCACCCTCACTTGCTGGGGGCTCTGGGAGGGACCCTGCGGCCGCCCTCAATTGCTGCTTTGGAAATTTTTTTTTTTGGTTTTATTTTGGGTCACACCTGGCAATGCTCTGGGGATACTCCTGGCTCTTCATTCAGGAGTTACTACTGACAATGCTCCTGGGACTATATGGGAGGCCGGGGATCAAACCCAGATTGGCTGTGTGTAAGGCAACCCACTGTGCTATAGCTCCGGCACTTTGGAAATTTTCTTCTTATTTATTTATTTGCTTTTTGGGTCCCACCTGGCAATGCTCAGGGCTTACTCCTGGCTCTGTACTTAGGAATGATGCCTGGCAGTGCTTGGGGGACCCTATGGGATGCTGAGGGTCAAACCTGGGTTGGCCGCGAGCAAGGCACACACCCAACCAGCTGTATTATCACTCCGGCCCCTGGAAAATTTTTTGTCTTTTAGGTCACATCTGGCACCGCTAAAGGCTTCCTCCTGGCTTTTTGTGCTTAGGGCTCACTCCTGGCAGAGCTCAGGATGTTGGGGATCGAATCCGGGTCGGCCACCTGTGAGGCAAGTGCCCTTCCCGCTGTTGTGTCATTCTGGACCCTGCTTTGGAAATACTTTTGCCTGCAATTCCAGGAAGTAGTCGAACCCAGGACCCTCTAGGAACAAAGAGCTCTCCCAGCTGGAGCATAGGTGCCCAGGCTTTTCTGTGGGTGCCAGTAGTCGGAAATTTACGGCACATGACCCTCCCCTCCGGCCGCTGTTAACAAGCTTCAGCAAGAAAAAATCTCCACTAATGACACCACACCCGGGGCGTGGGAAAGAATCTAATTAAAAATACAGAAATAACAGGAAACAAGTGTCTGCAGGGCCTGGCCACCCCCTCCCCCTTCCCTCCCATCTGAGCCTCGTCCTTTTCCACTCGGGGATGTGCACCCCCAAAGCCGGGTCTTCAGCAGCACCCCTGTCCCCTGTGGGCCCTAACTTGTCCTACTTCCCATGACTCCCGTCTCCAAAGGACACATGCTCCTTTTCCAAGCAAAAGACGCACAACTGGGTGTATAGTTCCTTTTGGGGATCATGCTTCTTGGGTCACACCCGCTGATGTTTGGGGCTTACTCCTGACTACACTGAGGAGTAAGGCAAACACCTACCTGCAGTACTATTGCTCTGGTCGCAAACACGTAAATCTAAGAACTATAAAACCCGGGGACCAGAACAATAGTATAACGAGTAGGGCATTTGCCTTGTACGCGGCTGACCCAGGTTCGATCCCCGGCATCCCATAGGGTCCTCCAAGCACAGCCAGGAGTAATTCCTGAGTGCAGAGCCAGGAGTAATCCCTGAGCATCACTGGATGTGACTCAAAAAGAAAAAAAAAAGAGCCATCACTGAGAGTAGAGCCAGGAGTAAGCCCTGAGCACAGCTAGGTGTGGCCTCTGAACCACAAAAAGTATTTTTTTTTTTTGGCTTTTTGGGTCACACCCAGAAATGCACAGGGGTTACTCCTGGCTCTGCACTCAGGAATTAACCCCTGGCCGGTGCTCAGGGGACCATATGGGACGCTGGGAATCGAACCTGGGTCGGCCGCATGCAAGGCAAACACCCTACCTGCTGTGCTATTGCTCCAGCTCCAGAAAGTATCTTTATAAAAGAAATAATTACCACACTGGGGTGTGTTCATGACTTAGTCCTGGCTCTGTGCTCAGAGGATTATACGGGGTGCTGGGGATCCAACCCAGGTTAGCCATGTGCAAGGCACGTGCGCTACCCACTGTACTCAGTTTTTGGCCCTTGCTCCTAGTTTGCGGGTTATTGAGACCTATGCTTGCTCACTCCTACACTTCTGGTGCTGGAATCCAGCTTTCTAGCTGGCTTCCCAGAACATTTGTGGAATGGAATCTATTGATTTATAAATGGATTTTCTTCATGAAACCCAGATGTGTTTCATTGGGAGAATGAGCTGCTGTGGGCTTCATGACTGCCGGGGGCAGAGCAGGCTGCCCCCTGCGGGCTCAGAGCCTGTCCTGCCACTTGGTTCTGTCCTTTACTGGGAGAAGGACATAGAACAGCACCCAACATGCGGAGGTCAAGAGCAGACTCTTGGCTACATTTTGAGGGGATGCAGCCCAGCTTCAAAATTCCATCACTGGAACCAGAGCCATCATCCAGCAGGGAGGGCACTAACACTGCACACAGCCGACCCGGGTTCAATCCCTGGCATCCCATACAGTTCCTGAGCCCCGCCAGGAGTAATTCCTGAGTGCAGAGCCAGGAGGAATCCCTGAACATTACCTAGAGTGGCCCAAACAACAAATCTCCAGTGGATAGAGGCTGAGGAGATAATATAGCGAGTCGGGCATTTGGTTCGACCCCTGGCACTCCAAACGGGGCCAGGGGACGGGGAGAGACTATTAATAAAGCGGCTGTTTTGGGGGTTGGAGAGATGGCGCATTGATGCAGGTTTTGATGCAGAACACCTGGGTGCAGCCCCTGGCACGACAGTGCCCCCAACCACTGCTGGAGGCAACCCCAATGCACGCAGCTGGGAGAACCCCTGGGCTACTGGCCAGGCGAGGAGCCTCTAAAGGTGGGAAGAGGGTGTGTGTGTGTGTGTGTGTGTGTGTGTGTGTGTGTGTGTGTGTGTGTGTGTGTGTGTGTAGAACGAAGATAAAGGTAAAGGTAAAGGCCCTCCCGTTGATCGTCGATTTGCTCGAGCGGGCCCAGTAACGTCTCCATTGGAGACTTTGTTGTTACTGTGTCTGGCATATCGAATACTCTCGGTAGCTTGCCGGGCTCTCTGAGAGGGGCGGAGGAATCGAACTCGGGTCGGCCATGTTGGCCGCTTGTAAGGCGAACGCCCTACCGCTGTGCTATCACTCCAGCCCGTAGAACGAAGATAAAACACTATTTCAGGATTTCTCATCTTTCCAAACCGAAGGTGGGAAGGGGTGTGTGTGTGTGAGAGAGAGAGAGAGAGAGAGAGAAAGAGAGAGAGCCAGAGAGAGAGTAAGAACAAAGATAAAACACTATTTCAGGATTTCTCAACTTTCCAAACCGAACTGAACTCCTGAGAAAATCTATCCAGGTGCTGGAGAGATAGCACAGCGGGTAAGGCGTTTGCCTTGCACGTGGCCAACCCAGGTTCGATTCCCAGCATCCCATATGATCCCCTGAGCATGAGTGCAGAGTCAGGAGGAACCCATGTGGATCACCAGGTGTGACCCTCCCCCCGCCCCCCCCCAAAAAATCTTCTATCTCCCCATTCTACCTCTGATCCATCTCTTTCTGGATTTCTTTGTTTAATTCATCCACTTTCTGTTGTAGTTTTTTCCTTCTCTGTTCGGGCGGGAGGTTGCTGAAATCCTCGGGCGTCGCACCCTGTGAATGCAAACAGAAGTGAGCCAGGAAGCCTGCCGGGAGGGAGACGGGGGGGGGGGGGGGGGAGATGGGGGCTTCAGTGTCCGCACCCAGGAACTACCACGAGATCCACCAGGCCTTTTCCCACCACACCCAGCAGAGCGCCAAGTCAGGGCATGCAAAAGTAAGGAAACCCACACCTGCTGCTGCGTCTGGGCTGGCCCGGACCCCTGGGCAAAAGAAGGGCCAGGTGCAGGGGGGGAGGGGAGGATGGGGCATTGGAGTCCAGCGAGATTGCTGGAACCATCACTTTCCGTCAGCTTGTGGGAGGGGCTTTGCCATCAGCCACTCAGCTCTGAGTCGGCCTCAACTCCTCCAGCCGGGTGCATGGAGCTTGGACTCAGTATTCAAACCACCCCCTACCCCTCAGACTGAGGCCTGGAGTGTCCTCCCCCGAGAAGGGACCGGGGTCCTCAGAGAACCAGGAGAGGACATTTATATGTCTCTCTCCCCGTCCCTCCGGATCCGACTCGCTGCCTGAGCAAATCCGAACCCCTCCTTTGAAGTTCAGTGAGGGTCCGAAGGCCCCGATATTGGGCACGGCTTCCGTAAGATACCATCTGGATAGCTCGGTCCCTTTTGGCACGCAGCAACCCTTTCCCTGGCCTGCCACTTTAGCAGAAAATAGCCGTAGTGTTGTTTTCTAGCCAGCCTGCCCGGGGGTGGCCGAGGGTGGGACCCCCACTGGAGTCTGTTCTCAGGAAGGGCCCGTCTGGGCTCCGGGCAGGGATGGGACAGCCGCCTGCCACATGGAGCTGGCCGTAGGGCTGTCACACAGGGTGAGGCTGCCTGGGAGGAAGGGTCCCAGCTGAACCCTCAGGGTCTGCTCAAGCCGGGCTGCTCAGCTGGGCTGTGCTGAGTTCCTAAGTTGCCGAGGATGAAACGCCGAGGCTGGTCCCAGCACATGGCTCAGCCAACGGGTTGCCACAAGCTAAGGGCACGCAGAGGCAGGTGCTGGTCCGCGAGCTCATGGGAGAGCATGACGTCACTCAACTCCATGCCTGCTCCCAGTTCATTTGCCTCCAATGTGAAAACGAGGCAAACTTTCAAACAGGAAACTATTCGGGCTGCTCTGCGCAGAGGCCCACGTTACTCTTAAACCCTTCATGATGTGATTTTTATTTTTATTTTTTTAATGTGCTCTTTTAAGCAGTTGAGCCTGAAGGGCTTCATTCCCGTGAGGAATTTTACTTCGTAGGCCTTTTGCTTTGACTGGGGGGATTTGGCCAGCAAGGTATGACTCCCGTGGACAACTCTGGGACTTTCTATCAGCTGCGAAGAAACCAGGAAGCAACACAGACTTTGCTTAGGCCTCAGAAGGGGACTGCCCTCCTCGGTGGCGGGAACTGAACCCTGATCTCTTACGAACTCAAAAGACTCCATCAGAGAATTCTCCCTCCTTGGTCGGGAGGCGAGCGATACTCTCTGCGTGGGTCTGACCCTGGGGAAAGAAGCTCAGTGACTAACGCATCCAAGAAACTTCTTGTCACTGTCATCTTTTCTTTTTCTTTCTAGAGCCGAAGAAACCTAGTTTCTGGAAAGTGTCTTAAAAAGGTCATTTCTTCCGATGGTCTGTGACTCACTGTGGCCGTGAAGGAATTTTGAGTTTGAGTTTCGGGTCCCAGTTGGATCTCTGAATGGGTGGTGACAGTGACAGGCCTGAGTGGCCTTCGTGTCCCTGGGTTGGACTCAGTCACCCATTCCTGTCTGGACCCTGGGACCCGCTGATTTTGAAGGTCTGATTCTTTCACGTGCTTCCAAAAGATATGGCATCAAGCAGAAATTCAATCCCAGGATGGCCAAATGACCGTAGCTCCAACTGGAAGGAGCCCATATCATGTTGCCCTTGGTCGCTTTGTCGCATGTCAGCCAAAGGGCCCTGGAGAGGCAGGACATGAGCTTGGCCCCAACAGTCTTAGGTCCCGTCGGCTGGCAATAGGTCTCCAAACTGTGCGCCTGATTTAAGGGTGGGGGGTCAGGAGCCAGACACTGACACCGGCTCATCCCGGCCTCCACCACGGATACACACTTACCTACCTGGCACCTCTAAGAGTGACATGGAACGGGATTCCATGTGCCCAACACCAGTGCAGCAAGTGGCGGCATCTCCCGGAAGCCACCGCCTGTGTTCCAGCATGTTCCCAGCTGCAGTGTTGGCGAAAACTCCATAACTCACACAAATTGGCAGCACAGTCCCGGGTTACGGGGTTAAAGGTTTCTTTTGGATCACGTGGAATGATTAGTTGGACTGTTTCCTACGGCTTTACAATCGAGTATAAACAACACAGCAAGCCAGGTTAGAAAGCCTTAGCAGGCATTCTTCTTGGCCCGCGGAACCTTCTGGTGAGTTCTGGAATCAGCTTTTGCCCAAGGCACCAGTGTGTTAATGGAGCATGGTGAGGATTTTCCTCGGTGGTGTCAAGACGCCTCACTGGCTCGCGTCTCTCCACGATTAAAATGGATCTCAATTCAATCTGATCCAAGAAACGCCCCCGATACGGAAACTTAGGGGTGGCCAACCAGCCTCTTCAAGCCCCGATAAAAAGGCAAAACCAAAGCAGGAGTTAAGCGTTAATTGGCTTCAGCGTCCTGGAAGTTAAAGTGGCCTCGATTAGGAGCCGGGCTGTTGCATAGAAAGGGTCGAATCAAGAAGCCTCAACCGAAGCAGCGGTGGCCACCCGGGGCCACAGTGACCAGCCCAGCCCACACGACATACACCACAACACCTGCCCACACTAGACATGCAGGGCGTCTTTGTGCTTACCAGCTTGAGAGAAAGCTTCGTGTGAAAATGGAAGGGGACCAGGGAAGAGAGGGAGGGAGGGAGAGAGAGAGAGAGAGAGAAAGAGAGAAACAACACATCAGAAGACAGGGAACTCGACCGATGCACGTCGTTAACATGACACATAAAGTCACCTGTCGCTTGTGACAATGGCTCAGTAGATCTGTGCAAAAGTTGGCACGTGGGGCCGGTCCCTGCCACCGCTTCGCTCGCTTCTGAACTAGCCCCCGTGGCTGGGCTGTGGGCCACGGCACGTGTGCAGTGGAGGGGACCAGATCGGGAGTCACAAAGACCAAAGTCATCGTGTCATCTCAATGTCACCGTTCCCAGGGAAAGTTTGACTGGGACTGGGAAAGTCTGCAGGGCAACATCCGAGCGCTAACTTTAGCAGAAGGAAACCGAATGAAGGGGGGGCTTGGGCTGGGGTTTCCTATGAACAGAAGACCCAGAGCCGCCCCCGTTCTGGAGACGGGGGTGGAGGTGGGGGAACTGATGCAGCCTCAGCAATACGGGGACCGGTCACAGCTGTCGTGCAGGATTGAGACCAGCCAGGGGAAAGTGGCCAGATGCAAAGCAGAGGAAAATGCAAATCCAGCACGAACACCTGGTTCTTCACGGGCAGGTGCAACCCTGGTGGCCAGAAGGCAGCAACGCTTTTTTTTTTTTTGAAAGTTGGGCTGGAGCGATAGCACAGCGGGTAGGGCGTTTGCCTTGCATGCGGCCAACCTGAGTTTGATTCCTCCGCCCCTCTCGGAGAGCCCGGCCAGCTACCCGTGACGTATTCAATATGCCAAAACACAGTAACAACAAAGTCTCACGATGGAGATGTTACTGGGTCCACTCGAGCAAATTGATGAACACCGGGAGGACAGTGCAGTGCTACAGTTTTGTTTGGGGGCCACAGCTGGCGGTGACCAGAGCTTACTCCTGGCTCTGTGCTCAGAAGGCCATAGATGGTGCCGGAGATCAAACCCAGCTCCGCCATATGCAGGGCCAACACCTCACCAGCATTTTGAGAGTGCCATGCCTACTTAACTAGCCTTAAAAGTTAGGGGCAAGGAGGGAAGGATCTAAAAAAAATCTGTTCGAGCAGCAAGATACTAACAGACATGTCCTTTGATTTAAAACAGGAAAAAGTAGCACTGTAGCACTGTCCTCCCATTGTTAATCGATTTGCTCAAGTGGGCCCAGTAATGTCTCCATTGTGAGACTTGTTGTTACTGTTTTTAGCATATCGAATACACCACGGGTAGCTTGCCAGGCTCTGCTGTGCAGACAAGAATACTCTCGGTAGCTTGCTGGGCTCTCTGAGAAGGGTGGAGGAATCGAACCGGGTCGCCTGGGTGGGCCGCACGCAAGGCAAACGCCCTACCTGCTGTGCTATCGCTCCAGCCCAGGAAAAAGTAAAAATAAATAAATAAAATAAAAATAAAACAGGAAACAGAGCAGGGTATCTAAAATTTCTTAATTAGATGCGAAAAACTTTAGTTAGAAAATAATTATATATATATATATATATACATTTGGAAGGGAGGCATATCAAGCTATGCTCAGGGCTTATTCCTGGAGGGCTTGAGGACCCTACGGGATACTGGGATTGAACCGGCAAGTGATCCTGTGCCCAGGGATCACTCCTGGCTGGCTCGGGGGACCCTATTGGGGTCAAATCTGGGTTGGCCACAGGCAAGACAAACACTCTCCCCACTACACTCTCTGCTCCCAGCCCCCCGCCCCCCACCCCGCCATCCTACTTATAAGATTAACTCAAAACTGACACTTCCTTGTGAGCAGGCATTGAGCTTTCAGGAGACTGTGTGGGAGCCCTGTCCCCTGTCCCCTGGAAGGGGGCTGTCAAGGGAAGACTGGCAGGACTGAGCTTTTTGGGGGGACAAGCAGAGCCCACCCCCCTGCGAGCTTCTGCACAGATCAAGCGTCACACTGGGGGTTCAGACAAGACTCATTGTGCACAGCGGACACTCGGCTGACCCCCGCGAAGCACACGGTCACACCCTCCCGCACTCCCGTGTCCTGTCGCTGATTTGGAGACCCGGGTCTGCTGTCTCGGCCAGGACGCTCCTGTTCCTGAAAGTCACTTGGTTTTGTTTGTTTGTATTGTGAGCATCGCAAGACACAGAATCCGAGCACGGAAATGAGCTCCCCAGAGCCGGTTTCCATGACGGGAGGTCGGGCAGACAGACAGACACCCGACACACAGGGAAGGCCGCCTCAGACCCGTCCCCTCTCTGCAGGGACAGGGAGGGGCTCTGCAGAGGCTGGGGGACAGCCAAGGGGCCTGCAGAGGGATGCCAGCCAGATGGTGGCCAACGAGCCACCCTGTCACCTGGATGCCTCCCCAAGGCCGAGGGAAGGTCATTGCGGTACCCGGCGGAGCCCCGGAAGCCACACGCATCAGTGACATGAGGGGACACGGAGGCAGTGAGACCAGGAGTTACTGGGGTGGGCACAGGCACTAACCCCAAGTGCCAAGACAGGGGACAGCGCAGGACAGAGCTCGGGGCGTCTGTTTTGGGGGGGGGTCTCCATCCAGGCAGGGGGCTGGGCTCCTCTCCACGTGTCCTGTGTACATGAGCGTCTTATTCCAGGGACCACATGATTGGAGGTTGGCATTCCACTGTGAGATAGTACCCAGCGACACACCGCTGGGCACACCACCATAGGCGGGGGTGGGGGGGGCGCTTCTGGCTCCCTGGCTGCCCTCCCCGCCCCCACACTCAGGAAGTTTAATTGTTATTGGGAAAGTTCAGCTCTTTTTTTCTCATGCAGACTGTGTGCAGGGAAACAGCCTACGGTTGGATTCATACACACGAGGCTTTTTTTTTTTCTTTCTGGGTCACACCAGGCAATGGACAGGGGACACTCCTGGCTTTGCACTCAGGAATTACTCCTGGCCGTGCTCAGGGGACCATATGGGATGCTGGGAATTGAGCCCAGGTCAGCAGCGTGCAAGGCAAGCGTCCTCCCCGCTGTGCTATCGCTCCAGTCCCACATGAGGCTATTTCTAGGGTCTGGGCCTCTCGATTGAAATTTTGTGTTGTGGGTAGAAGCCCACCAGAGCACGTGGGGGGCGGGGCGGGGGTCCCCAGTCTTGGTGCTGTGGGAGGAGTTAGTGTCTGTGCCGGGATCTTATGGGCCTCACAGGGAACTTACAACATAATCCCTAGCTTCAAAAGCATGGGTGGGCTGGCCTAGCGTCCTCTTCAGGAATTCTTTGTGAAAACAGAACGACTGAGTCTGCCAACGATCAGCGAGAGAACAAGGCACAATCAACGAAACGAGCGTGACCAGAAGGGGCTAACCCGACCAGTTAGGATTTGCAATTTCTTTGGGTCAGCTTTTTTTTTTTCTTTTCTTTTTGGGTCACACCCAGCGGTGCTCAGGAGTTAATCCTGGCTCTGCACTCAGGACTCACTCCTAGCGGTGCTCGGGGGACCATATGGGATGCTGGGAATTGAACCTGGGTCGGCCGCGTGCAAGGCAAACGCCCTCCCCGCTGTACTATTGCTCTGGCCCCCTTTGAGTCGGCTTTTATGGTCATCTTGCCACCTCCCAAAACTACTTCTGAAAGGTGGCGGGGGACTGGTTCAAAGTTTAGACCCTGAAGTCCATTGCCAAGAAAATCTTCCTCCCAGGCAATAAAATTAGAGTCTGTGGACTGCAAGTTGGAAACATCCTATTTGCTTCATTTCTCCTTGGGCTTAAAGCAGAGAGGAAGTAGGAGTCAGACGAGCCTTAATGTTCACCATGAGTGATAGGCCAGTGGGGCAGGTGCTCATTTTCGCATGCACCAGACCCAGGTTTAATCCCTGACATCCCATACAGTGCCCCTGGGACCTGCCAGGAGAAAATTCCTGAGTTCAGAGCCAGGAGTGACTCCTACACATCACGGGATGTGGCCCCCAAACTGATAAAGTGAAAGAGAATGACAATTCTGTCATTTTCTTTCTTTTTTGGAGAGTGGTGGCAGGAGAAGGGTGGTCAGCCTGGCAGTGCCCAGGGCTTACTCCTCGCTATCTTGCTCAGTTGGGCAAGCTCCCCACCCACCGTCCTCTCTCTCCAGCCCTGATTCTATCATTTTCATCCCGGGTCCTCGTGCCATGTACCTTCCAAGTGGAGGAGGCATTCAAATCAAAATTATTTGCCGTGACTTCAGCCTGCTTTATTGCCCGTGGTTATCTGTGTGAGAGGTTCCCATTCCATTCTGTCTTTCTTTCTTCCTGTGACTTCTGAGAGGCTAATGTGAACCTGAGTCAGAACTGACGGGCGCAGAGCCAGGGGTGCAGGGAAGCCGGCGCGGGCCCTAGGGATTGACCTCTGCTCCCAGTCTGCACTTACACTTCGGAAAAAAACACTTTCCACCACTTGGTAAATGATTCCGACAGAGGTTTACTGAGAGCAGAGCTCAAGGGTGCGAGATATCATGGGTTTTGCTAATCATGGTAAAAGAAAGGGAAGGCTGTTCCTTCACATCATCAGAAGAGCTGGGTCCCGTTTGCTGGTGTTTTGTTTACAGGTGTTTTAAGTGTGCACTCCTCGCCAGCTTTTTCCTTTTATGGTTTTGGGGCTACACCTGGCACTGCTCAGGGCTGATTCCTGGTTCTGTGCTCAGAGTGGCCTCCTGGTGGCCTTTGGGGCCCAGAGGGGATGCGGGGACTCAAACCCAGCTTGTCCACGTGGAAGGCAGGCATCCCGTTCCACCATCTCTCTGGCTCGTCGGTCAGCTTTCTGTGACACATTTTTGTTTGCTTTTGGGCCACACTCAGCTGTGCTCCCGGCTTACTCCTGGCTCTGTGCTCAGGGATCACTCCTGGCGGTGCTCGGGAGACCATATGGGGTGCTGGGAATCGAACCTGGGTTGGCTGCGTCTAAGGCCAGCACCCTGCCCGCTGTGCTCTCTCTCTCTCTCTCTCTCTCTCTCTGTCCTCATCTTATGCTTCTTGATTACTGCCATTCTGGGGTCTGTTCCTAACTAAACTTTTCGAGAACACTGGGAAAAAAAGCAGGTTCAGAAATCGCTGGCATCCCACAGAGTGGAACTGCATAGGGATAAACATCACGCCCATTCCATCTGCTCCACATCGAGTGCCCAGGACAACACAGAGACCCTGTTACAATTGGAATAAACCAGAGCTGGGTTCAGGTGGAGAAAAGGCCGGCGCAGCTCAGCTCTGCAGAGACCCGACGGGCTCCGGGTCTAACCAAAGTCCCGCTGCCGGAAACACAAACCCGATAGTGCGCAGGGCAGGGGGCGGCGTGCAGAGAGCCAGCGCTGGGGCACATCAGGAGGGAGAGCTAATATTGAAACACCCCTTATCCACTTTCCCAACTTCTCGCTGCATCTTTAAGAAACTGAAATTGGGATTCTTAACCGGACATGCTGGGTCCTTTTTTTTTTTCTTTTTGGGTCACACCCTGGGCCGGAGCGATAGCGCAGCAGGTAGGGTGTCTGCCATGCACGCGACCAACCCGGGTTTGATTCCTCCGCCCCTCTCAGAGAGCCCGGCAAGCTACCAAGAGTATCTCGCCCACATGGCAAAGCCTGGCAAGCTCCCCGTGACATATTCGATATACCAAAAACAGTAACAACAAGTCTCACAATTTGTTGTGAGATGTTACTGGTGCCTGCTTGAGCAAATCCATGAGCAACGAACGGGAGGACAGTGCAGTGCAGTGCAGTGGGTCACACCCAGCGATGCTCAGGAATTACTACTGGCAGTGGTCGGGGCACCATATGGGATGCCGGGGATTGAACCTGGGTCAGTCGGGTGCAAGGCAAATGCCCTACCCACTGTACTATCACTCCGGTCCCTGATGGGTACCTTTAAATTAGCAAGATCGACCCCACCGGCACATTTTGGTACATTTGTGCACATACAGAAATCTTTTTTTGGAGGGGAAAGGGTTTGGGCAGTGTTCGCTCTGCCTGTGGTGCTTGGGGGGGGGGGGGGGGAGCTGTGCAGTGCAGGGATGGAACTGAGGTTGGCTGCATGCAAGGCAATTGCCTTAACCCCAACCCTATCTCTGGCTCCTATAAAACTTTGATATTCTTTCATGTAAAGAATTCTGCAGTTAAAGAAATAAGGGCATTGCTTCTTATTTATCTATTTATTTATTTTTACTTTTTTTGGTCACACCCGGCGATGCTCAGGGGTCACTCCTGGCTCTGCACTCAAGAATCATTCCTGGCGGTGCTCAGGGAACCATAATGGGATGCTGGGAATTGAACCCAGGCCAGCTGCGTGCAAGGCAAACACCCTACCCGCTGTGCTATTACTTGAATCCACATTTCTTCTATAAATCAAATTGGTATTGTAACTGAGCTCGGGATCAGTTCTGTGAAACCCTGTGGGTTAATAATAAATAAGTCCCCCTTACTTATTTTTTTGATGGGGGTAGGCGGGAGCTACATCTGGTGATTCTCAGGGAGCGCTGAGGGGACAGATGTGGTGCTGAGGGGTTTGTTTGGTTTGGTTTAGATTTTGGGTGACACCTGGTGATGTTCAGGGGTTACTCTTGGCTCTGCTCAGGGGACCATATGGGATGCCAAGGAACAAACCAGGGTTGGCCGTGTGCAGGCCAGCGCCCTCCCCACTGTACTGTCTCTCTGGCCCGTGGTGCTGAGGTGTGACTGCAGGGTCGTGGCTGCAGCCCTGGGCCAGGCAAGTCAACTGCACCATCCCTCTGGCCCTGCTCTCTCTTTAAAAAAGGTGACAACTTAGCTATCTCTTTGCCACATTCCATTTCCTTTGACAGTGGTGGGAGCACGGTTGGTGGTGCTCAGGGGACCATGCAGTGTGAGGGGTCACCCACCCCCAGTCTTCTCCCCGTGAGCCACAGACCTGGCGTTGGCCATAGCCTCATTCAGAGGAAGGGAGAAATAAAATGACCCTGATCCAAGGCCGTGACCCACCAGCTGTTCTGTGGTCACCAGTGAAACAGAACCAGGCCCAAAGGGCATATTCCAATGCGGGAGTGTTTGCTCCTCTCCCATATTTCATGCTTCACTGTAAAACTACCCGGGCCAGGGTGTGGCTTCGCGGGGGCCTGCACACTCCACAGGTGTGAGGCCTGGGTTTAACCCCAGTGTCCTCCAATAACCCCCTACCCCAATTACTAAATTACTTGAATCCACATTTCTTCTATAAATCAAATTGGTATTGTAATTGAGTTCTGGATCAGTTCTGTGAAACCCTGTGGCAGCTGTGGGTCCAAGGGCTGTGAGTTTAAGAGAGGAATCCCCAGAGCAGAAGAAAGTGGGGTGTGCATGCTCGGACACAGAGCCCGGGATCCATGTTCCTCTCCTGTCCCCGCAGTAACGTAACCAGGAAAGTCAGGAGGGGAGGGCACAGAAGCTGCACGGGTAAAGGGAGTGAGTGATGCCTGGGCCTGACTCCGCCCAAGTTTGTCTGACTCCGCCCAGTGTGGGGTCTTGCTCCGCCCAGCCCGGATTTGGTTCCACCCAGGGTGGGGGTCTGGCTCTGCCCAGTGTAAAGTCTGGCTCCGCCCATCTCAGGTCTGGCTCCGCCTAGCGTGAGGTCTGGTTCCACCCACTGTGGGGTTTGGCTCCACCCATCTCACGTCTGACTCCACCCAGCCAGGGGTCGGCTCTGCCCAGCTTGTGTCTGGCTCTGCCCAGCTTGGGTCTGGCTCCGCCCAGCCCAGGTCTGGTCCCACCCAGTGTGGGGTCTGGCTCTGCCCATCTCAGGTCTGGCTCCACCCAGCCGGGGTCGGCTCCGCCCAGCTTGGGTCTGGCTCCATCTAGCGTGAGATCTGGTTCCACTCACTGTGGGGTTTGGCTCCACCCATCTCAGGTCTGACTCCGCCCAGCGTGAGGTCTGGCTCCGCCCAGCCCAGGTCTGGTCCCACCCAGTGTGGGGTCTGGCTCCGCCCATCTCAGGTCTGGCTCTGCCCAGCCGGGGTCGGCTCCGCCCAGCTTGGGTCTGGCTCCTCCCAGCGTGAGGTCTGGCTCCGCCCAGCCCAGGTCTGGTCCCACCCAGACCTGGGGTCTGGCTCCGCCCATATCAGATCTGGCTCCGCCCAGTGTGAGGTCTGACTCCACCCAGCCCGGCTCTGGCTCAGCACAGCCAGGCTCCCGGAAGACCGGGATAACGCTGCTCCCCAGTCCCCCTGCCTTTACGAGGATGAAGAGGCACGTGGGCAGTTGCACCTGCACCTTCTAAGTTCTCCAAAAACAGCTATGGAAACCGCAGTAGCTGCTGCCGAGACTAATGTTCTTGTGACACACACACAGCAAATACTTCCCGTGCTCCCGGGCCTCCCAATTCCTCTTCACCGGCGTCGGGAGCTCAGCACAGGGACCCCAAGCTTCCTTTTTCTGGGGCAAATCAAGGTAAGATATGAACCATGTCTGGAAGGGGAAGTGGCGAGCAGGGTGCCTGCCGGGCAGGGCCGGGTCCTGGCTCCCCCCCTCCGCACCCCTCTCCCCTTCTTCCCTCCCCTTTCTGGCCAGCTTCCTTCCTTCTCACGCTCACAGATCACAGGTTCCGATTGTTTCTCACGACAGGGCAAAAAACACAAACAAAAGGGGTCTTGGCGAGAGGGCAAGCCGACCAAAGCGCACGCGAGCGGGGGGCCCCTCCCCGGGCAGGACTTACCCCACGCTTTAGGCTCCGGAAGCAGTGGATTTTGGGTTTGGAGATCATGAACTCGTTGAAGCGATGGGAGAGGGGCTCCTTTGGCTGCTTGGGAGACTGGGGGCCGTTGGGAACAGCACAGGATGAGGCGGAGGTGGGAGGAGGGGGGGGAGGCTGATGGGGCGACGTTAGGAGGGACATAAGCTACAGGTAAGAGATGGAACGGTGGCAGAGTGAGAGAAGAACAAAACAAAACAAACCAGAAACGAGGAGATGAGACACAAAACAAAAATAAGCATCAAATCATATTTGAAATCCAAAGACAAACAATTAAATATCGAGGTCGTGGTCCAAAAGGAAAACGTGGCGAGTCCGCGAGAGGAAGAGGAGGAAGAGCAACAGTGCTAAGTAAAGGCGGGGTGGGGGGGATGGGGGGGTGGGGGGGTGGCGAGGAGACTCGCGGAGAAGCACATGCACTTTTCCACATGCCAACTACACGTTAGTTCCTCAGGTCAAGGGGGAAGCCGGAGGGTCCCTTTAAGCCACCTGGACTCTCAGAGCTGGGAAAGAAAGACTGAGCTGGGGGCGGGGGCGGGGGAGGGGGGAGTCAACGGGGAAATGATCTCGGTGAGGCCTGGGTTAATGCTTGCATGCACCTGAGTCACGCTACACGGGAGAGAGTGAAAGTGTGTCCCTGGAGGTAAAGTGAGCCGAGCCCCGGGAAGCCACTGCAAGGAGGCCGTGCTGGCAGCTCAGTGGTTAGTGACGTCTCGGGGCCCACGGCGTGGAGGTCAGTGATGTGTTAGTGTGGGTGACGCCGAGCTGGAGGAGGGTCGGGGAAGAGGCCCTGCTGTCCCCCGGGGGCACTGGACAGGGGAGCAGAGAGCGGAGCCGCCCCCTACCACCCCCCACTGTGTTCGCTTTGCCTCTGCAACTACACATCCAACCTCTCGCCCTTAAGACCAGAAGTCCCAGTGGGCCGGCCCGCACCTTCGGAACCCGCTCGGCGCCAGCAGTACCTTATTTTTCTTGATGAACGGCCAGAGCTTGCCTTTGGACTTGCCCCCGAACTTGAGCTCGGGTTTGCCTTCACCCCGGGAGTTGGACAGGCTGTTGTCGGACGCCGTGCGCTTCATGGGCTGTGTGTAATCCTCGAACTCGATGTCACCCGGGGGCTCGAACCCTGACTTGTAAGCCTCGATGACCAGCTGGGAGTCCTGTCAAGACACGTGCGTGCACACGGACCCGGTCACGGTGTGCAACGGCTGTTCCAGTGAGAATTTTTTTAAAAAAGCTTTTGTGGGGGGGCTGGAGTGATAGCACAGCGGGTAGGGTGTTTGCTTTGCACAAGGCCGACCCAGGTTCGATTCCCAGCATCCCATAGGGTCCCCTGAGCATGGCCAGGAATAATTCCTGAGTGCATGAACCAGGAGTAACCCCTGTGCATCGTTGGGTGTGACCCAAAAAGAAAGAAGAAAAAAAAAAGCTTTTGGGGCCCCAACCAGAGATGCTCAGGGATTACTCCTTTCTACATCCAGGAATTACTCCTGGAGGTGCTGGAGAACCGTGCAGGATGCCAGGGTGCAAACCCAAATTGACCACGTGCAAGGCAAACGCCATCCCTGCTGCCCTATCACTCAGGCCCCCAACTGTGAATTCTGATGTGCAAATAGAGTGGTTCTTCTAAGGTGGTCATGCTGATTATTAATAAGCTATTTTTGTGTTATGATCACTAGAGAGAAAAGAATGCAATTCCTAAAACCCTACCTCTGGGGGAAATTTGAAGATATTTTCAACAGGCATTTTTCTACATTTGCAGAAATAAATTTAACTATGAATGACTTTGTGGGGCTGGAGCGATAGCACAGCAGGAAGGGTGTTTGCTTTGCACATGGCCGACCTGGGTTTGATCCCTGGCATCCCACATGGTCCCCTGATCACCGCCAGGAGCTCCTGAGTGCAGAGCCACAAAGAACCCCTAAGCACTGCCGGGTGTGACCCCCCAAAAAGCCAAAGGTAAAAAAAGAATCACTCTGGGCATCTGGGAAACAGTGCAGAGGGTGAATGCTTATGTGTGGTCAGGTTGAATCCCCTGGTACCACATGGCCCTGAGTATGCCCGCCCCAGCATTTCCTGCCCCCCCCCCATTATCTTAGCCCCTAATATAGGACATTGAAATCAGGCTTGTTTTGTTTTCTTTCTTTCTTTCTTTCTTTCTTTCTTTCTTTCTTTCTTTCTTTCTTTCATTTTATTTATTTTGATTTTGGGACCACACTTGGCGATGCTCATGGGTTATTCCTGGCTCTGTGCTCAGGAATCACTCCTGACCATATGGGAGGCCAGTAACAAACTCTGGCTGGCTGTGTACAAGGCAAGCGCCCTACCTGCTGCACTCTCTCTCAACTAAGGGGTCAGAGAGGTAGTACAATGGGTAAGCCATTTGCCTTGCATGTGGCCCACCCAAGTTTGATCCCCGGCACCCCATATGGCCCTCAAGCAATGCCAGAAGTGATTCCTGAGCACAGAGCCAGGAGTAACCCCTGAGCATGGCTGGATATGACCCAAACAAAAACAAAAAGAGAAATCAATTTATAATCCCCACTGCTGTTCGTGAAAAGACTCCTCTGGATGCTGAAAGATAGTTTAGGGCTAAGGCACTTGTCTTGCACGGGGCTGACCCTGGTTCGATCCTGGGATCCTGGGCACCACATTATGTGATGAGCACTACCAGGAGTGCTCCCTGAGCACAGAGCTGGGAGTAGTCCCCACGTACCACTGGGTGTGGACCAAAAACTAAAAAAAAAAAGGACTCCTCCAGGCTAGACAAAACAGGGGGTATAGTTGGCACTAAGCCAGCACCCCACCCCCAGACCCCTCCAAAAAAGGACACCCCCACAGTGACTCACCAGTGCCTACTGTTATGTGTTTGGTTTGGAGGACAAGGAGTTGTGGGGAAGTTGAGTCACACCCCAGGGGTGTTTGGGGAACCCCATGTGGTGCCGAGGATTTTAACCTGGATTACAGCCAACTCAGCTGCATGAGAGGCAGCTTCGAGAGCTTCAGTCTCTCTGGCCTGAGCACTGGCTTTTCTGTTGCATTGGGGGAATGACAGGGCGTGAGGGGCCACGCCTGGCAGTGGGCTCACCCCTGGTCTGCACTCAGGGATCACTCCTGGCAGGTGCCCTCCCCAATACTGACACTTTTTTTTTCTTTCTTTTTGGGTCACACCCGGTGATGCTCAGGGGTTACTCCTGGCTCTGCACTCAGGAATCACTCTTGGCGGTGCTCAGGGGACCATGTGGGATGCTGGGGATCGAACCTGGGTCAGCTGTGTGCAAGGCAAACGCTCGCCCTGCTGTGTTGCTGCTCCAGCCCCTACTGACACTTTTAAAGTGACTCCAGGTGCTAATGGGCCCCTGTGGTGCTGGGCCTGGAGCGGGGGTCCAGCATGCAGAGGCCCCGTGGACCCTCCACAGTGATCCGAGGTGCCTCTGTGATATTCTTTGCTGCCTTTGTTGCTGCCAGGCCCCGAGAGCTGCCACAAAACAAGGCCAGAGCTGACGGCCGCAGCTTGGGGAGGGCAGCGATGCTGCGCCCCATCTACCAGTGACCTGATGGGCCCCCCAGGGGGCTGTCACCGGGGTGCGAAGGGGGCGGCTGCAGCTGGGAGAGCACCGGAAGCCCGGGCCAGTCGGGGTCCCCATGAGGTGGCCGGGGAAGGGGACAGAGAACAAGAGGGCCACACCCCGCTCCCCACCCCCGCCCACCCCCATGCTCACGTTTTTCTGGTCGATGGACTCGGCTGCCTTCACGATCCCGTCCAAGCACTTCCCGATGATGGGGGTCACCTGCCGGTCCACCTCGGCGTAGGTCTTCATGGACTCTCCGATGCGCACGATCCTTCTCTCCTCCATCTCTTGGATTTTCTGCAACGATCAGTGTTGGATAAAGCAAATCTGGCTCCCTGGTCTTTCAGGAATACTTTTTGTTTGTTTTGGGGGGGTCACATCTGGTGATGCTCACTCAGGGGATACTCCTGGCTCTGCACTCAGGAATCACCCCTGGCGGTGCTCGGGGAACCATACGGGATGCTGGGAATCGAACCCGGGTCGGCCGTGTGCAAGGCAAATGCCCTACCTGCTGTGGCAAACTATGCAGATTTTCCAGACAGTTCGGCTTCGCCATATATTCTTTTCTTGTGGGTAAGGGGTTAGAGTTCTGGGGCCACACATGGCAGTTTCAGGGGCCATTTCTGGCTCTACTCCGGAGTAACCCCTGATGGTGTTTGGACGACCATCTGTAGTGCCACGGAGCCAAGGGTGGGACCAGGCAGCTGTATATAAGGCAAACACCTCACCCCCTTCATGCCTGCTCTAGGTCCTTCCCTTGTATTTTCTTTTTCTTAAAGCTGTTTGGGCCACACCCAATGATGCTCAGGGGTTCCTCCTGGCTCTGCACTCAGGAACAAATGGAGGCGCTCGAGGGACCATATGGGATGCCGGGGATTGAACCCAGGTTGGCTGATGCAAGGTAGAGGCCACCCTCTTCCACCAGTCTTCTTTACACGATTCTAAGTAAGAGGTACAAACTCAAAGGAGCTTTTCTTTGGGGAGAGGTGGATTTGGGGCTCACACCAGGCCGTGCTCAGTGTTTACTCTGTGTGGTGTGTGTGTGTGTGTGTGTGTGTGTGTGTGTGTGTCTCTTTGGGTCACACTTGAGGATGCTCAGGGGTGACTCCTGGTTCTGCACTCAGGAATTGGGAGACCCAATGGGATGCAGGGGGTCGAACCCAGGTTGGCTGTGTGCAAGGCAAATGCCCTACCCACTGTCCTGTCGCTCCAACCCTCGGGTGTACTCTTGACTCTGTGCTCGGGAATCGCTCCTGGCAGTGCTGGGGCTGCGAGGCTGCCCCCCTACCAGCTCGCCTTATCTCAGGCCCCTCAGGGAATGCTATTTGCCGACACAGTTCTCACACGTTCCCATCTCTCATCCCAGGCATAGCATCCAATGAAAGAACTGCGGGGGAGGAGGGGAGGGGGTGCTTGCCACATTGGGGGGAGGGGGGCTGTTTGCCACACAGGCAGCCACAACATTATTTCTCCCACCAGCAGTCTTGATGGGATCAAGTCACACTTGTAAGACTGGTGGCAAAGAATGGGTCCACCCAGGGAGTGGCCAAGGGCTATCCATGAATCCTTGACTCGCGTTATGATTAACGCTTCATCCGGATGCTTTGAAAACCACACGAGAGCGGGGATAAGGCTTAAGAGGCGAGAGCGTGTGCTGTGTGTGTGTAAGTGCGGGGTCTGACCCCCAGGAACCCAGGCTCCCCCTGCCCCCGACTCTGCTGGGTGGCTTCCCTCCCCCCCCAACATACTAATTTAAGTTACAGTAAAGAGCGAAATGGTGAGAATTGACTGTTCCCACTCAAAGCCAAGCCCAGGGCTCAGGTTCCCAGACCTGGAATATGGCGGGGATGTGCGTGTAGTAATATTCGTGCTGCTCGCGGTTGAATTTCTGCAGGATGGAGGAGTAATCTGCTTTGCTGTCCTCGGCCATCTGGTGACGGATCTGAGCTTGCTGCCGAGCCTAAGAGCAAAACATAAGCGAAATGCATCATAAAACAGAGCTTCGGGGGTTCGTACGCGGGGGCAGAAGGTGTTTGACTCGCATGGGACCAAGCTGGGTTCGATTCCTGGGACCCCATAGGGTCCTCTGAGCAGCGCCAGGAGTAACCCCTGAGCACCACCCAGGGTGGCCCCCAAACAAACAAAAAAGCTTTCGCTCTAGACTGAAGAGGCAAACAGTCAAATGTACCTCAGAGGAGATTTTTTTTTGGGAGGGGTCACACCCGGCAATGCTCAGGGGTTACTCCTGGCTCTGCACTCAGGAATTACTCCTGTCAGTTCTCGGGGGACCATATGGGATGCTGGGAATTGAACCCGGGTCGGCCACGTGCAAGGCCCTACCCGCTGTGCTATCACTCCAGCCCCCAGAGGAGATTTTTAATAGGTGCCAATTTTTAAATATTGTGGATACTTGCTTCCTTCCTCCCTCCCTCCATCCCTCTTCTTCTCCTTCCCTCCTTCTCTCCCTCCTGCCTGGGCCGGCACAGACCCTCCCTTGGCACTGATGCCCCCGGCTTCCCGGACTGACGGGCCCGGCCGTGTCCACTGTCTTCACCTGGCCCGGGTCACATACACGCAAGCTGTTGGGTTTCGTGGGAAGTGCTGATCATAGACACACGTTTGTTTTATTTTTGGCTCGCGGGCACAGGAAATGTGTGCGTATATGTAAGTGCAGATACGTGTATGTTACCCAGTGCTCAGCGGGGCTTCGAGACTGCCAACGCATAGGAGCTGCTGATCCCAACGGCCTCTTCCAGAAGCTAAAGACCACACCTCAGAGAAACGCTCGGCGCCGTGCCGTCTTGGTGCTTGTTAAGACGCGTATCTGTGTGTGTGTGTGTGTGTGTGTGTGTGTGTGTGGTGTGTATCTGTCTGTGTGTGTCTATATGTGTGTATCTGTCTGTGAGTGTGTCTGTGTGTGTATCTGTAGTGTGTGTGTCTACGTGTGTATCTGTGTGTATGTCTGTGTGAGATATTTTTGTGCTACTGCAATGTTTTCCTCCAAGGTGACCAACAATATAATTCACAAATTCACTCGTCTCTTCTACTTCATGAAGGTCACAGAGCCCATTTTAAAGGTCAAACCAACAAACAAAAATCCATAATCTCTCAAGCCACCTGCCAGTGTGGGGGCGTGTTTTCCTGGAGCCCTGACTTCAGGTCCAAGGGGCCGTGGAGAGGCTGGGGCAGGGACCGGGGTCTCCCGCACAGCTGGCCGGCATGTGGGGCCTGGAAACTGCCCCCCCCCCCCCAGCTCAAGGCAAATCAGGCTGGGGCCCTGGTGGCCGGGCAAAGGCCCCTCGGCCACAAGCAATGGGAAAGGACTGGCTCCCTCCCCCAAGGGACTTGTACTTCAATTTGTTCAGCCACACTGGGTATTTCCTTTTGAATAGGAACTTTGGGGGAAGGGATGGATAGCATAGCGGGTAGGGCGTTTGCCTTGCACGTGGCCAACCCAGGTTCGATTCCCAGCATCCCATATGGTCCTCCAAGCACCGCCAGGAGTGATTCCTGAGTGCAGAGCCAGGAGTAACCCCTGAGCATTGCTGGGTGTCACCCAAAAGCGAAAAAAGAAAAAAAAAAAGGAACTTTGGGGGGAAACTGAGATGTTCTGATGAAAATATACCAAGTCATAAGTCGGGGTGGCAGCCCCCCTTTCTGTGGGCTCTGGAGACAAACCCCAACCCCGCCCAGCCCCGCTCTGCTGCCCGCTCTGGGTTTGCAGCCCTGCAGGGGAGAACCGTGCCCCGAGTTTACTTCTGGGGTTCAGCCTCCCCCCCGACTTCCCACCCCACAGTCACCCTGCAGCCCCCCCCCGAACCGCTGCCCCCATGCCTACAAGCTCACTCCTGAGGACATCAGGAGCCCCGTGTCCCATCACACCCACCGACTTCCTCCCCGCCCCCACTTTCAGCACGACATCTTCCTTCCTCTCGGTGCCTATCACCCCCCTTCCTGCCCGCCTACTAGGGTTCCGCTTCCGCTGGGCCTGCGGGGTGGTGTGGGGGGCAGGTGAAGGGAGCACCCCCGGCCCCACCCACTCCCGCACAACCCTGGAGGGACTTTCACTTTTCGGAGGGCCCAGCAGGTGTATCTGGAATCTGATGCACCCTGAGATGCCAGTGGGTGATTCCCTGAAGCTGACCCCGCCCTTCACCAGCCTTCCCTGAAAACCAGCCCGCTGGGGGGCTCGGGGGGGACCCCTCTGGGCTCAAGGCATGTGCCCACCTGCTGTCCTATCACTCCAGCCCTGCAAAAGGGCCACACTTAGCTGTGCTCAGGGATCACTCTTGGCGGAGCTTGGGGGAACCCCCAGGGGTGTTCACTTCTGCTTCTGCTTTCTGGGCCACCCTGGGTGGAGTTCCGGGGTTAGTCCTGGCTCTGCACTCAGGGATCACTCCTGGTGAGGCTCAGGGGGCCCTATGGGATGCTGGAGATCGAACCTGGGTTGGCCATGTGCAAGCAAGAGCCCTACCCACGGTACTATCCTACCTCCTTGGTCCTGCTTCACCTGTTTTCGGGTTTTGCTGGGGGAGGGAGAGTGGTGGGCACACCCAGCAGTGCCCAGGGGTCACTCTTGGCTCTGAACTCAGGAATCACTCCTGATGATGCCCATAGGGGACCCTATGGGATGCCGGGGATGGAACCCAGGTTGGCCATGTACAAGGGAAGTGCCCTCCCTGCTGGACTGTCACTTTTTTTGGGGGGGGTCACACCCAGCGATACACAGGAGTTACTCCTGGCTCTGCACTCAGGAGTCACTCCTGGCGGTGCTCAGGGGACCATATGGAATGCTGCGAATCGAACCCGGGTCGGCCGCGTGTTAAGGCAAACGCCCTACCCACTATGTTATCACTCCAGCCCCAAGGACTGTCACTTCTGTCAGCAGCAACATACACCAGTGGACAAGGAACCCCCCAACAAACTCGGGGGAGGAGTCTCCTGTATTCCGGTGGTGCTGGAGGACCGGGGTCATATTCCTGGCAGTGCTCGGGGACGCCCCTCCATGCCCACAGTCAAACCAAGCCCAGTTATACGCGGAGTGCATGGCTAACGCCGGACACCATCTCTCTGGCCCGAGACAGAGGCTGGCACGCCATCAAGCATGTGGACACGTGTGCTGGCACAACTGCACACGTGTATTTAGGTCCAATAACCACACATCCACACAGGTGGTGGGAATGGGAGAGCAACAACTTTCTGTTCTGTTTTGTTGTGGGCCACACGCAGCTCTGCTCGGGGCTTCCTCCTGGCTCTGCACTTAGGGGTCACTCCTGGTGGGCCGGGGTGGGGGGGACCCTCTGGGTTCAAGGCATGTGCCCACCTGCTCTCCTATCACTCCAGCCCTGCAAAATACAATTTTTGTTTGTTTGGGGGCCACACTTGGCTGTGCTCAGGGATCACTCTTGGCGGAGCTTGGGGGACTATATACAAGGTCAGACACTCAAACGGGGGTCCACTGTACGCTGGGCAAGTGCCGGCCCCCTCCCTCTGGCCATGTAGAGCAGATTTCTCTGCGTATGAAGGCAGAGGATGACCAAGCACCGGCGCGTGTTCAGGGCCTGTTTCTGCCCAATGGGCCTGTGTGTGTGGGGGGGGGGGGGGCAGGGTGCCCCCAGCGCTTGCTGGCCCGGGACCCCGCACTCGTGACTCCTCCTTCCTGAGCGGGCGAGAGGCCCCTCTGCCTGTGCACTGGAATCTCAGACCCCCCAGGCAGATGGCACCCCATCTTTCCCCTCAAGGAAGTGGAGCCCTCTTCAACCCCGCTGCCTGGCAGGTCAGTGAAAGTCTGTTTTATGATGAGACTTGTTTCTGGAAAACTGGCATGGAAACAATGGCTCATAATTGGATTTTATTTGGGGGGATGCTCAGGGGAACATGCAGCTGGTACTAAGGAAAACACCGAAACTTCATCAGGGAAACCCCACACTGCAGTTCCCCGGGCCCAGAAATTTTGTTCTTTTGCTTTTTTTTTGCTTTTTTGGGGTCACACACGGCAAAGTTCAGGGGTTACTCCTGGTTCTGCACTCAGGAATTATCCCTGGCAGTACTTGGGGGACCCTATGGGATGCGGGGGATCGAACCCAGGTAGGCTGTGTGCAAGGCAAACGCCCTCCCCGCTGTGCTATCGCTCCGGCCCCGTTTGTTTGTTCTTTTAATATCTTTCAAAACTTTCAAAAAACTTCTCCGGAAGAACCAGTAAGTGCACATTTTAGAGTGTCTCCCCGCCTATCTGAGGCTAAATGTAGCTCTAAAACACTGATTTTTTTCATCACCTTCCCCCGCCCTCGAGTTCTCATAGTTAAAATCTAAAATAAAAATAACAACCATTATCCAAAGGAGGCACAGTTCTTCCTATCTAAGCCAGACCAGAAGCTGTTTTAATCAGATTAAAGTTCTCAGCCTCCGACAGAAAGCATGGCACCGAGAGCTAATCTTGCTTTTAGCCAGAGAGAAGTTTGAAGGATCTAGCTTGGAAGCTTATATTTTTGGGGGGTGGGGGTGAGGGTGGGGTTGGCTGTTTTCTTGTCATGATTCAGAGTCACAGGATTTACAAGGAATATTCCAGAAAAGTCCAAAATGACCCCGTTGCCTGACTGTGTAAAACACAGACAGCCTCAGATCATGCGCTATCAGATGGACTGGGTTTAAACAGGATTTCTCTGATAGTCTCTGCAGATCTCCTTGAATACATTAAAAACAAAGCAAAACAAAAAACCGTAAGTGTGGACATGTTTGCATGGCCTCGTGGCTGGCTCATTTTTTCTTTTGGGTCTTGGGACTGGAGCGATAGCACAGTGGTAGGGCGTTTGGCTTGCATGTGGCCGGCACGGCCGACCCAAGTTCGATTCCTCCACCCCTCTCGGAGAGCCCAGGTAAGCTACTGAGACTATCTCACCTGCAAGGCAAAACCTGGCAAGCTACCCGTGATACAGTAACAACAAAGTCTCACAATGTTAC